AGTTAGGTATTATAGTATATAATAGAAATAAAACTACTTTTTATACTTAATTTAAACCCCTACTGTAAAAGTAAACTACCACTTTAAACCTATTTACGGGTATACACGAGGTCAGTTTACACCTATATAGTAAACCCCTAGCGTACCATTCTACAGTAAACAATTTTTTACCGTAGTGATCCTCACCATGACCTCGAACTTAATTCCTTGGACTCTGCAGCACGTCAAGGCTACCTATTGTCCTTTTCCTTTTCAGCCTACTCCCCTTTATTGCCTTGTAGGCGGAGAGCAGCTTGACGTTTGAGAGGCTAATCGAGGTTGAAAAAGAAATAAACCAAACCAAGTACCATCTGCTGGCTGGCATCATTTTCATTGATGATAAGGCTGTATAGGATGAAAGTCGTGACAGACCAATCAGATCTGTACGGTGCCTGATGCCATGTCTCTCATTTCACAATGTTGCCTACACTTTCCATATTGGTGAACGCAGCTGTACTCATATCTGGAATCTCAATTCACCTTCACCTCGATCTGCGTCACGGCAATGACGTACCACAAAAACTACCGTTTGCGCAAATTTGACAGTCTGGACTTACCAAAGTGAATTCACCCAACAAGCCTTGTTCAATATCTCAGCTATCTTGATCCATCCGTCTATCAAGATCTGCCGACAAGCTGCGCAATGGCCGACCGCAACGGACCATTCGATCTACCGAAACCTATGCCACCTATCACTCCAGACCAGGCACAGAACGACAACCAACATGTTGACAAGTTTACGTGGGCACGCACGCTGCTCGACACGTCTGGCCTGCAACAGTTCCGCAACGATACGGCTCGTGTTTGGGCTCCGAATGGTGTGCAGTTCGTGTATCCTGTCATGCCGCACATGGCTAATGAGTCTGGAGCTGAGCCTACCGACGGCGACGATGTGAGCTCACAGTCTAGTAATTCAACGGTCAAGATGGGCGTTCGCCACTCCGATCGCGAGCCACTCGACTTTGACAAAGGTATGCCACCTATAGTCTTTGCAGAAGTTTACACGACTGTCACGACTTGTATGCGACGGCCGCATCGTTAGCGAGGGGTCGCCAGTCGTCGCAGATTCAGATTTTATGCGGTTGCTTTGTTTTAATCTGATATTGGCACTGACTTCATGACGCAGCAGATTTCGTTCAGGCTTTACCAAGCCACAAACCTTCGACTGATCTGTCCTCTCCATGGAATCCGACACCAAACAACGCGAGGCCCCGATCCTACACCTCTTCCAGTACCGACAGTGATGCTACATTCGTGACCGACCACTCGCTCACCCAAAGTGTTGGTAGTGTCGACTCTACAGGCTGTATGTCTTCACAAGTCACTCGAGAGAAAGTTCCACATAGAGATCGCATGGTCATGCTTCGCAGCACAATGGATGCTAACACATGTGGTACTATTAAAGATCTTCATATTCCTGACACACCGACTTCTCGTCAAGAGTTGGATCGACTGTTGTCACTGCGCGCCATTCCGTCACCGCTTGGTCAAGGCCGAGTCAAAAACGAGGCTATCAGCAATAGTAGTAGTCTACTAAGCGTACCGCCTAACACATCTGATCATCAGAGTCAACTACATGAGCATGCGGCACCTCAGAGTCCCGCTATCTATGGACTGCATAAGAGAAATGTAGAGCTTGACGGCAAGAGAAGTCCTTTCCAAAAGGCTGCCGGATTTGGATTCAGCCACGTTCGAAATCCTACTGATCCTTTCGTCGAACAGGCCGAGAAATTGCAATGTGGTAGCCGCAGTTCAGCGCAGCATCCCCAAGGCTTCCACTTGCGCTCGCCACTCGCACCGAAGACCCCTAGCTTAGCTGCCAACTCACAGTCACTATCATCGGTTGCACAAGTTGGTGACGGGCTTAACCCTGCCGTATCCAACTTTACACCAGTTGTTCGAACAGAACTACCTATCCCGCCCCCTCCTCTTCCGTTCGCGCAACACAAGTACACACACGCGCCTGAAGCCCGGGCCGCTCTTGAAGCACAAAAGGTAGTCCGCGAGGCATGGATTCGTTCGGAAGCGAAAAAGATTACCGAGCTGAGTCGGGCCCGGTTTGAGGCAGCACGACAGTTTGAGCACACGAGGTCGACAGGAGACTATCAGGCGCTGAGTCGGACCGAAGCTGAATTCCTCGATTCCACGAACCTGGAGAAACGTCAAGAAGAGCGCAGGAACATGTTTCTTCCACCAGGCATGACTGCCATGCGTACCGGACCCGGCAATATTCCTAGTGATGGCTTTGCTGCAAGGGGGCCACCCAATCAGGATGCTGAAGGTGTTGGCAATGGCGGTAATAGTGCTGAAGGGCCAGGTCGGTTCTTGGGGTCTCAGATGGCGTATATGGAGCGGGTTTGCGCCGAGGTCAAGCGTCCTGATCAGGGTGAAGGTGAGGTGGGAGAGGGAGTCGATAAGATCACTGCAGACATGTTGAATATGCTGTCAGCTGAAGAGAAGTCTGCTCTGCGAGAACATCTCGTTGGCAGACTGAGACGTGCTACAGAACGTCGCTCCTGCAATTAGGAAGTTGGCAGGGGAAGATCATATGGGGGCTTGTAAGCCATAGGCACATGCTTGAGTCTATGCACGTAGTGTACCTGGACAAGCGTACTCCCCACGGTAAGATTGTGGGGAGGCACTAGTGATGGACAAGAGTATCGCAGCGTGTCAAGTATGGGAACACGAGCGTCAAATGCCAAACGATTATCATATGCATTGGCTCTGTAGAACCGACGTCATGGTACAACTTACTGTGTTGCCACTTACTGACCGATCATTCTGTACAATTCGAATCAGTTTAGTGTCCGTATCAGGCTTGCTCACTCCCTGTCCATAATGCCGTGACGGAGAAAGCTAAAATTCCATATTCGGGTTTCGTGGTGTGCAAGATAGGAAGAAAGGAAATGTTCATAAGTAAAGCCACGGACAGATTGGAGAGAAGACGGATGCAGGTTGCCGTCCCGAGCTTCCCTTCTTCGATTCACTGTGCCCACTACGGCTCCCAAGACTCAAGATAAGTGGATGTCCAGAGAGAGGTACTGTCGCAATTATCTCACCGTTCAATGCACATGAGAACTGTACTTACTAGACTAAGCGAGTCGCTCTAACGGAGACGTTTCCGCAGCAAGGTTAGCCTCGCCTCCTCCCAGACGGTAAAGTCTCGTTGGCCCATCTGAGTGTTCCCGCCGCCCGGCCAACTCGGCCAACGACAACACTCGGGCAACATGGGATTTCACAGTGCCACAGTTGCTCTACGCAGCCACCATCTTCACCTCTTGTGTTCGCTGTTGATGGATCCATGCATATCAGTGGATACAGGCTTCCAGCTTTTGGTGGCGAACCTCTGCTGCCGGTGAATGTGATTGGCGGGAGGGGGGTCCGGTACTTTGTTCAACGTCTCTTGTAGATGCACCATCTCCCCTCCCGAAGATCTGGTTGTAATCGGCGCAATAGGCATTTCGAATCGACAAGGCTGTACCTTGATAGTAAAAAGGAGGCCAGGTCAGCGCTGCATAGATCTCGACTTGAATTCTTTTTGGAAGACAGATCTTGTTCAATATCACCCATCTGGAGCGACTTGGCGTCACACCTTGATATGCTGAGTCTGGCCATTGTAGTGCGGGAGACTACTATACACCATCTCATCCATGCAGTGGACTGAGATTGTTGTCAGCAGCCTGCTCGGATCCAATGTTTCTCCCTTCCGCGCAAAGCGTCAAGATGGGCCCCCAGCAGGGCCAATCGACCGAGAGTACACGTCCTCTGCGACCCCTACTCCCCGCAGCAGCCCCGCGGTGCGACGTACCGCCCCTGCAGTCCAAGAGAGCACGAGTGTCCCTAGCATGCGCTGCTTGTAGAATGCGGAAAACGAAGGTATCGTAATCTGACCATGGCTGGCTCGTCTTGATACCTAATGGTTCGAAAGCTGCTGACACATGAAATAGTGCGACGGCGAGCGTCCCAGGTGTTGCGAATGTACGGCACGTGAGAGTGCTTGTCAATACACAGAGACTGAGTCGACGCAGACGAAGCGTCGGCGTGCAGATGTCGAGGAGCTATTCGAGCTGCTGAGGACGCTCCCAGAGGAGAGTGCGTTTGAACTTCTTGCTCGCATCAGGGCAGGTGCAGATACACGCGAACTGGTCGAAACGATGCAGTATGGAAATTTGCTGGTCCAGTTTGCTTCTGCTTCTACAGCAGGTAGCCAGGACAGCCAGGATAACCAACAATGTTCTGGAGGGTCCTCAACTTGAAAGTCGAGTGCGATACTAAGCTGGAAAGATGACTTTCGCCTCGTTTTGGTTCCTGGATGTTTCCCAGAGATGGCTTGTGGGATATGCTGTATCTCGAAAATGTTTCGCTTCTTTTCTCCCTACATTATACGCGCTGATAGCATGGCTTTCTCCTGTATGATACCCCTGGCTGTCTTCAGTCTGGTCAGCTGCACAATACGAGTTCTTGACCTCCCAGCAGATGTCGGCCCTTCATATTTGAGATGATCTTCCAGACCTCGTTGTCAGTCTCCACTGCGATACCGGTGTGTCATGACCAATTTTTTTTTAAAAGTCTTTTTACATCTTCACTTGCTGTTTTCAAAGTTCATTTCGCTGTCGCACTTTCGATGCTTTTTTCTTAATGTCTGGTCGGCACGGTATTGTGATCGCAGACTTTCATCGTTGAGTTAAAAAGTAAGGGAGATCACGACGAGTCATCACTCGTAAGCAACAATGGCTTTCTGACGCACTTCCGCCAGTCTAGCAGCTCTCGGCTTTGGCTACAGGTGCGAGTCTATGTGGTAGCACAATTAGTACATGAATGATACGAGATGTGCGCGCAGATGCCTAGTACATAGAAGATATTTTTGTACACTCGTGTACAATGCCGAAATTATCTTCGATAAATACGGTCGAGGTAGTCCAATTGCATGAACTATTCAGTTATACATGTTGGAAATGAAAACTAGCTTGTTGGATGAGCAAACCTGGACATCCGAAGGTTGCGACTCTTCGATGACAGCTGATATAGCTATAGGTACAAGCTGGTGGCGGCTGCATGCAGGTTTGGGCATCTTGCACGATGCTATCAACCAGCCTAACGGCGCATGCCTCCCCTCCATTGAGGCCCCTTGGCTGTCAGATACCATGATCCACTGGACAAGGAGCTGCTTCGGGCTCATTCTCATCAGCGACGCAATTTTCAGAGTAGGTGGGCGCGATACACTATGCAGCCTTTGCGCGATCCCGATTCTCGAACTGGATTAGCTGGTGTCAGCCTGATGAGTTCCCATACCACGTGACTCGCCCGATCGGCCTAAAGCTTGGTACGTGCGGGAAGGCCCGAAGAATCTGGGCAGTCTCTTATTCTGTCTCTCACTCCAAGAATACGACACGACGCCCCAAAAGGATGCTGCAGTCCATGAACATCTCAACTTGAAGGCGGGTCATGATTCAATTTAGCGTATTAGCCCATACCGTACTTCATGCCATGCCGAGGCTCAATGATGAAGGTTTTTCTCTGAAAGTCACGATGCATCTTCACGGTACTTGTTACGTTTCCATTGCAAATTCTAGTCAAAGATCAATTTCCCCTGAGGGACTAGTACACATCAATCAGCTGGCTATGGTGCCAGAACGGTCTCCGCACCCATGAGATCTTTTCAATTTGCTTGATCTCCTGTCAGAGTGCGGACGCTATGCTTCGGCATGTAACCTGCCTAACCTCGTCGCGGTTGGTACCGCAACGCCGATCCACAAGGATACTACCTATGCCGAACGTCAAAGGCAATTACCCCCGACAGGCGGCCACCTCCGCACCGCTACCTACAAGCATTTGGGGCAGGATGGAGAGACCTGTGGCGTTTCCTGGGGGCGTTTCCTGGGGGTCCTGCATACTCCACATTCGGTAGACCAGGCAATTCGGCAAAGCCAGATGCAGAGTTTTTGACCTTGATACATGGGGGAACCAGTATAAGGGAGGCGGCATTGTACTTAAAGCTCAGGTCGATCTCCTCGTGGGTTATGTATCGTTGATCTCCCAATCTGATTCCTTTTCCCCCCGACTCTTAGATTCAGGCGCCATGGATCCCATCCCTAGCGTGTCTGTGACTGGGGCAGAGGCCCGTCACAAGCAGCGATGGCAGACACTTTTGAATAATCCAAAGCTTTTGGCCATTGCCTTTTTTGCCTCGTAAGCCTCGGGATGTCACACACTTGTCATTCACACTGCTAATTTCTGACAGGTTTGGTGGTTTTGAGTATGGCTATCAGCAAGGTGTACTAGGGCAGTCCCTAGTCATGACGCGCTTCAAAGACAATTTCCCTTCTGTCGTGGAATCAGCTGGAGCAACGGGGTGGTTGACTTCCATCCTACAACTAGGCGGTATTTTGGGCTCGCTGTCATCTGGTGTCTTTGGCGAAGTCTTCTCGCGGAAGTACACCATGTTTTCAGCCTGCTGTTGGGTCGTTCTCGGGTCGTACCTCTACATCGGTGCAACCCATCACAATCCTGCGATGTTGTATGCTGGACGATTTTTCACTGGTATTGGTGTTGGAACATTCTCTGGTGTCGGACCACTCTACAACGCGGAAATCGCGCCACCTGAGCTCCGTGGACTCATCGTCTCCTTTTATCAATTCGCAACGATCTTGGGCATCATGTTGTCATTCTGGATCGGCTATGGAAGCAATTACATTGGCGGCACTGGAGCTAGCCAGAGTAACCTTGCTTGGATGCTTCCATCTATCATCCAGGGCGTCCCCGCAGCAATCCTCGCCATTGGAATTTGGTGGCTTCCGTTCTCCCCACGATGGTTGATCAAGAAAGGTCGCGACGAGGAAGGCCTAAAAACACTGTCCTATCTTCGCAAGCTTCCCATTGAACACGAACTCGTGCAAACAGAGTTTCTGGAAATCAAGTCCGAGGCCCTTTTTGAACGTCGCAGCTTTGAAAAGAATTTCCCCAACTTGGCTGCGAAAGAGGCGGGCAGCATCGTCGTGAGGGAATTTGCACAGTATTACCAGATTTTCAGGACCTGGGACAACTTCAAGCGCGTAGCTACGGCGTGGTTGATCATGTTCTTTCAACAGTGGTCGGGTATAGACGCAATTATTTACTACAGCAGTAACATCTTCCAATCCGTCGGCCTGACTGGAGGCACACAAGGTAAGAAATCCTCTAGCAACGACGAAGCACCATTGGAGATGGCTTTATCTTCTCTGACTATGGCTAACGCACGTCACAGCATTACTCGCTACTGGCGTTACAGGAGTGGTCTTTTTCCTCGCCACGCTGCCTGCCATGGCTGTCATTGACAAGTTTGGTCGCAAACCCATGCTGCAAGTTGGTTCCGTCGTAATGCTAATGTCCATGGTCATCGCCGGTATCCTCGTCGCAAAGTTCCGCCACGACTGGGTTGAGCACGCGGCTGTGGGCTGGGTCGTAGTGACCTTCATCTGGATTTACATTGCCGCTTTCGGCGCGACTTGGGGACCAGTTTCGTGGACACTCATTAGCGAGATCTTCCCTCTTTCCATCCGCTCCAAGGGCGCGTCCATCGGAGCATCTAGCAACTGGCTCAACAACTTTGCCGTTGCTTTCTTGTGAGTCCTCCTCATCCTGTTTACATCGAGAGTCTATACTTACTCTGGGACTGCAGTGTTCCGCCAATGCTCGCGAGTTGGGCCTGGGGTACCTATATCTTCTTTGCAGTCTTCTTGACGGCAGGTATCGCCTGGGTTCACTTTTATTTGCCAGAGACGAAGGGCAAAACACTGGAGGAAATGGACGAGGTGTTTGGCAGCCGAACCGGGACGGAAGATGCCATTATGCTCGCGGAAGCTAAGAGGGAGATTGAGCTGAGCATGAGTATGGAGCGCGAGATCCTCAAGCCTGGTAACCATAACGAGAAGGGTGACGCATATGTGGAGGAGGTATAGAGGGGAGCTCAGCATTATGGGAATGAGGCGTTGAGTTTACCTAAGATCACTCGACAGACATAACTACAATGCGACCCCACAGCAGAAAAGTGAATCTTGCTCTGATAATCGAGAGCGAAATACCAAAGGCCTAAGCAAAGATTATCATCATGGCACAAGGGCTTCAAGCGCCTAAATCACTACCAATCTGCATTTCTCACATCATGATTGATAAAAAGATCTCCTGTCGATTGAAACTCACGTGTCTTCCACTTGCAATGCCCATTACACCTTCAGACATTCTCAGTCTTAACATCAGAAACGCTCTTATGCTTCTCAGCGATTCTCTCAATGCTAGCCCGCGCCTCGCCCTTAGCCTGCGCCGTAGAAATAGCATTAACGTCCTCATCAAGATGAGCGCTACCCTTCTTCGTCTTCCAGGCATAAGGACCCTGGTCGCTAAATAGGACCTCAATTTCTTCGAGAGTTTTACCGCAAGTCTAGGTAATTGTGTTAGTTGAACATGTCGACAATCCGATTGCATGGCAACTTGCCTCGGGGTAGGTGAGGAAGAATTGGGCGGCTGCCAGGAGACAGAGTACACCGAAGACGATGAACAGGCCCCATTTGATGTTTAGAAAGGCAGGTGGGATGAATAGACCAATGGCAAAGTTGAACAGCCTGTTTTAATGTCAGTTGATCGAAGCTGAAGCGGAGTAGATTATGCATGAAGAACTTACCAATTTCCAATGGCCGCTATACCCATGCCCCAAGCTCGGGTCTCCAAGGACCACACCTCGGCGGCATATACCCAGCAAATTGGGGCAAGCGTCAGGGCGTAGATGATTATTAAAAGGTAGGAGAAAGCAATGACGGTATTCGCAGGAGCGCCACGGACGAGCATGACGACGTTTTTATCTCCCTGAACACCCTCCGGAACGTATGTGTAGTTTGCACCAAGCAGGCCACCAACAACAACTAAAGGAGGGTCAGTGTACGTAATTTCGGGTTTTCTTATAATACTCACAATGGCAAATGCCCATGGTGATGGCGCCCCATACCAAGAGTGTTCGACGGCCAATCTTGTCAACAAAGAAGAACATGATTGACGAGAAGATGATGAACAGCGCGTATTGCACACCCGAGGAGATGAGCTTGATGTTTCCCTGCAAGCCTGCCATTGCGAAAATGTAGACTACGTAGTATGTCATGACCTACGCGGCGTTAGCCTCGTGCGAGCAGTCAAGTCAGCTAGATACTCACATTTGCGCCAGACAACTGTTGCCAAGCTTGCACAGAGAATCCAGCCAGCGTTCGCCTCCACATCCCGTTGTAAACAAACTTCCTCCAGCTCCGGGGAGCTAGACGTTCAGCGGTAAGAACGGTGATGATCTCCTCATATTCGGCGATAACATAGGGATCCGTGAGATCGCCGTCAGCCTGAATCTTGGCGAGGGTGAAGATGGCTTCCTCCGTCCGATCGACTTTTGCGAACCAACGAGGCGATTCGGGGAGAAATGGGAGGCCAATGAGAAAGAGGACACAAGGTACGAGTTGCATTCCCCAGGCTGTGCGGAAAGACGCAGTTTCACCGGGAATGAAGGAGCACCCGTAACCGATGAAAAACCTGCCATCGTGAGTCTTGTGTTTAATGTACCAAACCCAGAGACATACATAATGAGGATACCCCACTCAATTGCAAGCTGTTGAATGATGATGATGGCTCCACGCTGAGAATGTTTGGAGATCTCTGCGAGGTATACTGGCACTTGAGACGAGGTGATGCCAACGGTGATGCCGTTTAGAACACGACCAGCAATAAGCATGCCACGACCATTTACAGCAATCTGTAGAACTGTTCCGATAATCCAAAACGAACAAGCAAACACAAGGGCGTCGCGTCGTCCAAATTTGTCAGAAACGGGCCCAGCGATGATTGAGCCAACAACAGAGCCGGCAGCCAGTGCAGCACCAATAGCTCCTTGAACGACTCCAGCTGGATTGTCGAAGTATTCTCTGTAGTATCACATCAGCCCAGAAACATACATAATTTGTAGCGCAAGGCATTCACGACGTACATGTATTGGTCTGTGCTGATGATGGCACTCATCGACGAAATATCGAAACCAAACAACATGCCTCCCATAGTGGCGATACACGCCAGGAAATAGACATTATAGATCTTAGGGAACTTGGAAAACATCTCGACGGCTGGGGGCTCTCCACAGAGCTAGACGTGTACGCAGATGGGAAAGGTGTTTTGCCGACGGACCATGCATTCCCTGGAGCATTGGGGAATATATATCCTTCAAAGTTAGGCCGCAGTGCTACACATGCTACGTCGATAAATGGACCGATGTTGCAAAAGCGGCCGGGGTTTAGGGGACATCGATCGATGATGCTCTTCGTTCACGAGACGCCATCCTCGCCATGGGAAAGCGCAAATACGCATGCGAATCAATTGGCGAGCTCTCATTTCTGGGTCTTGGGGGTTAACGTGGGGATCGAGCTAAAAGCGCATGGGGCGTACCGCCTTGTGTAGCTCTCCGCACCCGTTGTGCATGCTTTGGCGTGGTAAGTGGCTTGCTGCCGACAAGCCCTGGGCCAACGGCATTGCAACTGACTCTTGCAATGATTCGTTGGTGCACACTTCTTTTTCCGAATTTGGTTGATGAGACGGGCAATTTTGCCGCCGTCGTATCAGGTGACATCGTATCCACATGGATTCGATGAGGATATATGACGTTTGCCAACTGTCCTTGAAGGAGGTTGGATGTAACAGTACCGCGGAAAAAGTGCCGACACTGACGCCGACTTGCATGTTGACTCGGAGTTTGGCCGACCGTCGACGATTCTGATGCGATGATCGTGGAGCAGAGTACAGAAACAGGAGTTTCAGAAGTTGTGGCGTCTTGGCAGTATACTTCCCACCAGGATGAGGATATTTGCCCCACATTCAAAAGCAGACGGTTGCATCGTATATACTGCAGCAAACGGGAGCTTTGGAAGCAAGATCACTGGGGTGCTCCAGTAACCAGGTCTGAACATAAAGTCAATAGGAACAGGCAAAGATCAACTTCGCAGTGTGAATAGTAGTGAGTTTGTTTTGTTCAGAAGATGCCTCGTGACGATCCATGCACGCATGTCTGCAGCAAGCATACTACATTCGCTCTGTTCCACACTTCTTTTCTGGTCATAATAAAATACCCTGGAGGAAGTGATAGAAAACTCGAAGGTGGAAAATATCAATTCCTTGAGACGAGATGAGACCCAATTGAACACGGGTCATGTGGCACCAGCTTTACACTGTTGCTCGAGTCGAAAACGATGGCGTCATCGTCAGTAGGCAATGCTATCACTGTGTTGTTTAATTAACCACTCGTCTATCCTTTCTTCACATCAGATCTGATGTATATTTCTGACTTCGTAAGTTATTCCCAATAGTACTCTATAGGTTTCCCGGTGAATGAAAGGTTCCCACATACCGTACGCTGCAAGGGACGGCGCGGCTTCCTCTAGCCACGATTCGACGCGAAGACTTTGTGCTCTGTGTTTCCTAGAGCAGAACATCGAAAAGGCGCTTTGCTTTAGATCACATCACGCATGAAACATCAAGAGATAAAGAATGCCTTCGAGTTGAAGAAGAACCATGTCTATTCGTAATAACAGTTGTTGAGGTAGAGAGGAATTCTAAGGCTACTATAAGTTGTCTTGCATCTAAACCCGAAATAGGGGTCGCTCCTTGTTCAACATGCTGACTCAGATGGCCAACGAGATAATGGTCTAGGCTTAACATTAATACGAGTCCACGACTCCGAGTATTTTCTTCCCATGCAGCATATTCGCCGATTCAACAGCATGATTATATTCTAATGAGTTCTGGCATTTTACATCAACGGTCCTGTGGTCTAGTGGTATGATTCTCGCTTAGGGTTTTCCCAGAGCACATTTGCGAGAGGCCCCGCGTTCGAGTCGCGGCAGGACCCAGTCAGTCATTCGACTCAACTTTTTTTGCCATTTTAAACACACTACAGTGGGACGACGGGTCAGGCCGAGCGCGTTGACACTGCATTTTTGCTCGAATGATGAGAGTACGTGCAAACTAGCCGTCGTGGGGATTAATTAGCTCCAGAACTCGGACGCAACACCAACAACTTTTTCTCTGTTTTCTTTCAAGACATCACAGCAACCCAAGGAAGCCTCAGTCACATTTCATGGCATTGCGAAGCCATCGATCACATGAGAGGAAATGATGGCTGGCTGGCTGCTGTACCTGCTGATTGATGCACGCCAAACCTTTTAAGACATCTGGACGCTACAATTGCCTAATTCTTGACTTCTATACCTGTTTACTAATGTCCAAAGTTTCGTAGAGCGTTCATCTTCCTTCTCCCAATGCATTCCAGTCTGTCAATTATAGCGGTTTTCCCCCGTGTAGCGCGACACGTGGAGACTCGGTCCAAGCTTAAGCCTGTCTTCCGCAGATTTCCAACATCACAACAAAATACCTACGAAGCTTACCACACTAACGACGAGCAACATGCAACTACGCTGGCCATATCCTGAGTCTCCCGGTGTTGGGGTGTATGGCCCAGTGACATCAAACCACAAGTAAGAACCCAGGGACCACCCATCCATCATAACAAGGCAATAGACGTGCACACTAACACGACAAAGTTTTTGTGAAGAAGTAAGAAATACAATGTACGCTGAATGACACAAGATAAGAGTAGGATCTCACCTCTCACAGGACTATGTCATTACGCCATACATTGCTGAGTTTGTCAACACTCTGACCAATGCAACATACGGTACATGCTTTTACGGCCCCGACTCATGTCCTCACTCCCAAGCTCATCCGAACCCTCAGTAATCTATGGTGTCTACGGCCTCCTCCGAGTACGCACCCACAAAGAAGGCGGTTACCTCTCGACCCTCGCCTTCCCCTACTGGGGCCTCATAGGCGTGGGCGTCCTGTCTGCCTACTTCCACGCCACACTCAAGTACCACAGCCAAATGGGCGACGATCTAAGCATGTTCCTTGCCGCCGGCGCCGTCCTGCACCAACTCCTCTGTTTCAACGCGTCAGTGGCCGAGAGGCGCAAATACACGCTTGCCATTATGGGCACCGTGCTCCCCGTGTCTGTGTACCATGTCTGGGCCGACGAGATCATCGCGCACGAAATCACGTTTGCGATTATGATTTTCCTCGTGTCCAAGTATGCGCGGGCGCTCATCAAGAAGCAAGTACGGAGTGAGGACCATCGGAAGAAGCTGGGGAGCATGGCGACGTTTGGAATTTCCATGGGCTTGTTTGGCTATTTCTTGTGGAATATCGATTTTCATCTTTGTGGCTATGTTACGACGTTTAAGCACTGGCTCGGTTTACCCTGGGGCTTCCTGTTTGAGCTGCATGCTTGGTGGCACATTTTCACAGGCATTGCAGCTTATGTTGGAATGGCCGTTGTCGAGTATCTTGTAACGATTGAAGAGGAGAGGGAGGGAGGTTTTGAAGAGGGATTTGTTTGGCCGGTCAGAGGTTTGATGCGGAGTTTGGCGGAGATGGACGGACCGAAAATGCGATGAAAGCTCTTCTGACTGTAAATGTTGGCTGGATGAGTTGACAAAAGTATGGGGTGGTGATCACCAGCCGGATTTAGGTGCATGTATGTGTTATGTGTACACTTTGAGTTTAAGACTAGATTATGTATACCTAAGATCTCTGTGTAAGGACTATAGGCTAAGTTTCAGCGCCACATTATATGTGGCATGTTGCTTCTGCCCAAGTAAAACTGGAACTAGCTACTTACCGGTACCTGGTGTGTGTGACCTTGCCCCAAATTGTCGCAGCACCTCAAACTATCATCCCCATAACCAGCACAACCACCAAGTAATACCACATCACCCGCCCCATTGTACAAAGCTATCCGCTCGAAAACTCGATTGACCATGCAATGAATCCCGTCCCTTCCTCGACCTCGGCCCTCACCATCCCGTCGAATGGCACATGTCATAGCAACCTACTTCGGACTTAGCAAAATCCCTAGCTCCGCTCCGTTCCGCTCCCCCCACATGCAGATCCTGATGAATATCCATCGGCAATGCAGAAAACTGTGTTGGGCGGCTATGTTTGGAAATAGGAGATTCGAAAGCTAATTGCCGTTTTGTGATTATGAGAGCTGTATTACTAGGTAAAGAGAGAAAGACAGAGAGAGAGTGTGTGTTTGTCAGTGGATAAGGTGGGTACGTGGGTATAAAAGAGTAGAAGAACTGTGCTTGTTGGTAGCCAGATAGACGATCAAAACCTACCTACCTACCTACCCCAGGGTACAATTAACAAAGAGCCGGGTAGAACGTTTTAGAAATTATAGTTAGTGGTGATATCATTCCGTTTTCGAACTTTTTGACTACTTCTTGGTCTGTTCTACCTTACCCCACCTACCAACCAACCCACCAGCCACCAACCTTTTCCCCAATCACTTCCAAACACCCAAATATTTTTGATTTCCGGCAAACGGCATCCTTGTATATACATACCCGCAAGAGCAGAAAAAGCAGAAAAAAGAGGGATAAAATAGTCAAGATGCCAGTCCTCCTGGGCAAACAAGTTGGCGAAATTGGCTATGGTATGATGGGTACGTTATTGCAGCTCTTAAACGCAGCCATAAACACTACTGGCGATCATGCACACCACACCACATCCCTCGTCTCAAAGAAAGAAACTGCAATTCAACTAAACTGCCTCACCACCACTCCATCATCCATACGTCCATACATCCACTAACCCATGGCCCCGCTCCCCAAAAAACAGGTCTAACATGGCGCCCCACGCCCCCCTCACAACCGCAAAGCATAGAAGCCCTGCGCACCGCCGTCTCCTGTGGCGCAAACTTCTGGAACGGAGGGGAACTCTACGGGACTCCGGAGCGAAACTCGCTGCACTTGCTGAACGAGTATTTTACGCAGTACCCAGCGGATGCGGACAAAGTCGTGCTTTCGATTAAAGGGGGTATTGTACCGGGTCAGATGGAGCCTGATGGGAGTGAAGAGGGGATCAAGAGGAGCGTGGAAGAGTGCTTGAGGGTGCTGGGGGGCAAGAAATTTTTGGATTTGTTTGAGTGCGGTGAGTTTGCGTGAGATTTTGGGATATTAATTGTTGGTTGTTTATGGCTATGTCCAGGACTATGTGATATCTGGAGAAAGTTTTTGTTTTATTGTGCAAGACAGGACTGATGATGCGTAGCACGTGTGGATCCAGCAACGCCGATTGAAGACACGATTAGCTATCTCGCCGAGTACGTCAAGGCGGGAAAGCTTGGTGGCATCAGCTTGTCTGAGGTGAGCGCTGCGTCGATTCGCAAGGCGGCCAAGGTGCATCCTATCTCTGCAGTCGAGGTAGAGTTTTCGCTTTGGTCGACTGACATCTTGGAGAATGGTGTTGCAGCGACTTGCGCAGAGTTGGGCATTCCCATTGTTGCGTACTCACCATTGGGACGAGGCTTCCTTGTAAGATTGGCCTCCTATTGTCTGTCATACTATACTGAAAATTGCGCTAGACGGGCAAATACAAGAAGCACAGTGACATTGATGATCCAATGATTCTTCATATGCCACGCTTCCAGCCCGAAGTGTTCGACCAGAACATCAAGCTACTGCACGCCGTCGAGGACATTGCCAAGGCTAAGAATGCTACGCCGGCGCAGATTGCACTCGGCTGGGTTCTCGCACAAAGCGGCGCAAAGGGTATGCCAACGATCATTCCCATTCCAGGTGCCACAACTTCGGCGCGAATCGAGGAGAATATGAAGCCGGCGAAGCTCAACGACGAGGATGTGAAGACGCTGAATGGTATTCTCAAGCGGTTTGCGCCGACTGGTGGGAGGTATCCCAAGGAATTCGAACCATTGCTGTTTGCATAGACTTGTCCTGTATTGTTACTGAAGGCTGGGTTAGCGACTGAAGATGAAGTTGTAATGAAGTTGGGGGTGTATAGAAAGAAGAATGTGGCTCAGATTAAGTGTTTGTAGTGTATGAGTTGATCGGCATGCGAGACTGCTGTGAAGCAGAGTCCTGGGAATTGCAGAACTCTGGTATATAACATCATTGGGAATGAGTTGTGTGGAAGAGGACGAGGGGGAGCTTACCATGATTGTCAGTGGCCAGCAATATAGGTAGGTATGCATGATGAATGCACCGCTATCGCTCTAAATCGCCATGACTTTGGATACGAAGAAGGATACCAGGGGCGTTGGAAGCCTCAAGTGGGTGAGGTCGATGGGTAAGGAGGAAGAAAGATGGTGTTGAGAAATGTATGTTGGGAGGCTGCTGGAGCTAGCTAGAGTTAGTTAGTGCTCAACATGAACAAACCCCCCCTGCCCTCCGCTCCATCGGCCATTGCACAACCACGCGCCTAAAGCTGGCTGGCATCACGCCTTCCATAACACCTAAACGTTGTTACCAAGCAATTTACTGTCACCGCCCAACGCTCACCGCCCACCACTCGCCCCCTAAACCGATTGCGAACCTTGCTCCCCCTCCTCCCGCCCCCAAAAGATGATGGAGTCGCCCGGCTCAGACCTGTCCGACTACGCCTCCGACGACTTCCCCGAGGACGTCAAGGGCGCCCGTATGAGCTACGAAGCTACGCCAGACCGCGACCACCGCCCCAGCAAGCGGCCGCGCCTTAATATACGCGCGCCCTCATCTCCCCCGCCCGCCCACATGACGACGACGTTGCCGGCCGATGAGGAAGAAGAGCTGTCCGAGGACACGGATGGGTCGGTGCCTGCATCACCCAACCACCACCCTGGCATGTCGCAGGAAGAAGAGTATGGCCAGGAGCAAGTCACCGTCTGCAAGTGGGAGGGTTGCCAGGTCGGGGATGTGCAAAACATGGACAACCTGGTCGAGCATCTTCACGAGGACCACATCGGTACGCGACAAAAGAAGTACAGTTGCGAGTGGAGCGATTGCACGCGAAAGGGCATACCACATGCCAGTGGATATGCATTGAGGGCGCATATGCGAAGCCACACGCGAGAAAAGCCATTTTACTGCACACTGCCAGGTAAGTACCTTCCCATTGCACGCGCACTCACCCCGTCCCTCACTAACACCTGCCCAGAATGCGACCGCTCCTTCACCCGCTCAGACGCCCTGGCTAAGCACATGCGCACGGTCCACGAGACAGAAGCCCTGCGCCCTTCTGATCCCGTTCCCAAGCACCACTCCTCCAACCCCACCAACAAAGTTCAGCGCTTGAAGCTGGTCCTCAACAGCGAGGGCAAGAAGCTGTCAAACGACAAGGGCTCGACGCCTGCCTCTCCCTTATCACACACCCATCCAACAGGCCCCTTGATCCCACCTGCACCTCACTCAGACGCCGACTATGCGCACAATAATGTCATCTACGTTCAAGACCTCGCCAGGCCAGATGTGCCAACCATGGTGCAGTTCCCTCCAGACATTGAATTTGCGCCCGAAGAGCTCGCCCTCCCTGCCCCCGAACTGTTCAAGCTTCTTCGGAGACAGCTACGCTGGGCAACACAAGAAGGCGAACAACTACGAGCCGAAGCAGACGTGTTAGAGAAGAAGCGCAAAGAAGAATGGGAGGCCAAGGAGCTGCTAGTGGAGAATCTCATGGAGGCACAAGTAGCGTGCGAACTTCGACGACGAGCCGAGGCAGGGTTGCCCGAGGATTTCGAAGGCTTCAGACAAGTACAAGAAGATATCGTGCCGTCGAAGAAACTACCCATCAAGAGCAGGAATGGAAAAATGCCTTGGTGGCGAGACGAGTCGTGGCAGTATCGACAGACGAGCGCTCAGGAGATCAAGCAGGAAGCACAGGCGCCACGACCTGCACCCTTGGATATCAGGCGCGAGGAGTTGCACGCTCAATCTGCTACGGGGTAATTGTTGAGTCCAGTGACTCTTCTTTATAAAACAAAGGACGTTGAACCCGTCATGTTGCATGTACTCTCGTCACGAATCCGCAGTGTCTCTCCAGACAAGCCCTCGTCCGGCTTCAGGCCAGGCTACTCTATATCTACAGCAGCACGACCTTGACAGCCTCAACACGCTACACACCCACACCGCACTCCTGCCTCCACCGATCTATGAGCTAGCCGGGCGATCTGGGCTCCTTGGCTTCCTCGTGCTCAAATACAGAAACAACATGCACACAGCTCACACCTTATGAAGCCCCTTTTTCCGTCTGAGACGTACTCCACAGCGTATGATCTGGATGACATATCGCCACCATCCCAACAATAGTATGAAGCCGGCCGCACACTTCACACCATTTAATTCCATGCGAGTCCGAGGGCCCGCGGCTAGCACCGAAGTTTTTCCTTGCTCACAATGGGATGGGAAAAGCATGGGGAAATGCGTATCCGAGATTAGCGACTACGACGGGTTCATCAACATTGGGATGATGCTAAATCGCACTCGGAGAACAGAAATGTGCACAAGCTTTTCTCGATTGAACAGCTCTTGCCATGCACAGAGGACTTTTTGGTGCTTAGGAAAATGGCATAGGTGTTGTAGGTATGGATTTCGGTCAAAACGGCACGAGCGATTATCAATACTGTTGGATTCACTACGGGTGTAGGTAGAATTATGGAAGATTATTTTCAGGATCGACACCAATGCAATGCCAAGTGTCCCTGTTACTCCGACTCCTTCCCAGATGTGCTGTACGCCCTTTCGAGCGATATGTCCAGAGATTTGGACGTCTGCGCACCCCACCATCTTCCGACGTGCGGGGATCTTCCTAGTGATGTGGACGTGCCTTGAATATAACGTCTCGACTCAAAGTGAGCGTCCGCCAAGGAAATACATCTACCTTCCCTTCCTCTTCTCAGACACACTGTTCTTGAACGGGTACCCACTCGTCCTCTTATCCGCCCCAGTCTTCCTGCTGATCCTGCCGTCACTGCTTGCAAACAAGATACACCACATTGCAACTGTAGCCAAGAAGCCACTTCCTAGGGTACCTAGACCGAAGGAGATAACGCCAGTTTTCGTCCACATGGTGTAACCGTAAAAGGCGTAGGCGGCGTGAAAGATGGCAGTGATGGTGAGTGTGGGCAGTGCGTATGGGGCTTTGGGATCAGCGGCTGAGGTTGTTGCGCCTATGGTGTGTCAGTTGAAATCTTAAGGGACATAGAGTAATCTCAAGGGAGACAAACCTTCTGATAAGCGACTAGACAGGGGTACGGAGCCCGTGAGCAAGACGGTCAAGATGCCCAATGTGATGAGTGTGAAGCCTAGTGTCCGGGAGAAGTAGACTTCGAGGGCTATTTCGTAGTGTTAGCCACATTGTCCTTTCGAAAACCGGTGATGATTCGTTACGTACTCGACGCTTCGCGGACCTCGGGGGAGAGCAATGCTACTATCATAGTCGGAGAGGCGATGAGAGGCGCGGCTTGGGTCGCTACATCGCTATCAATCTTTGCACCTGTTTTCGCGCGCGATGGAGAGACGTACCTAGCCATGCTGCAGTGCCGTAGCTGTAAAAGTAGTAAACCTGTTGTCAATGAGTCAGCTTCTCTATCTTTCAAGAAACATCATGTTGTGTCAAGTAAAACATACATCCATATTGATAGCTGATCTTGCAGTCCAAAGTGGTGATTCCAAAAGGTTGAGTCGAGTCCGGTCTTTACTTTCTCAGGAGCCCGCAAAGTGATTTGAATGAAGAATTATAGGCCTGGAGATGATTTGTGCACTTTGGAAGGGTTGGAAAGTGGTTCCTGGCGCGGTTTCCCCAGCAGGGCGTATGACGTCAAAGATCGTCACAGGAATGCACGACCCACTTTCGCTGTGGAAACATGCGTCTTACCGCATTTGTACGCGTCTGGTCTCTAGTCTTCCAAGCCTGGAAGAGAATAGGATTCAGCCGCATCAATCCTTTGCTTATTCGATACAAGATCCTTGTTGTGTGGGGTTTGGATGACGTTGTTGTGTTGATAGGTGATACTAGATGAGGTTTGAGATGTTGGTAGCTCACTCTTACAATCGCCGTCATAATTCTTAGTCGGATGCCTAGACGCGTATACTTGGTGGCCATCTTTGCAGGAAAGATTTACGGTACTCAGCTCATACTTGAAGCCCTGACCGATATATGTGACTTTAATGTATGTCAGCTGTTGGCACCAAACCGTGTGACAAGGCTGTACTGTACTGGTACTGTGCATGTAACATTGCCGACCTATAGTCGTATGGTGGATGTGTTCAGTGTTAAACAGATAGTGTAGTAACAATCGCAGTGACTATTTAGAATGCATCCATGGGAGTAGTCATGAAGGGGCGTCTAAATATAACGTGGTACTGTAGAATGCAGTCTCCAGCCCTTGCACAATTAATACCTACGTTGGTGTTCCTCGGGTGTTCGAGTGGGGTAACAGCAGGAAGCTCGGCTACTACTACTACCGATATATACGTTGCAATTTTTGAAATCACCATCAATTCAATCGGTGGTATGGTCTAGTGGTATGACGTCGCGTTGTGGTTCGGCGAAGCCTGTGTGCTTCTGATCTTCGATCCGCGCCAGCCTGGGTGTATGTATATTCCACAACATTGAGTACTGCTTGTAACAAAGACTGACTTCCTTGAAGTCGATTCCCAGTACCGCCATGTTTACTTTTTTGCACTTTTCAAGTGCTGCAGGATTTTTTTTGAATATAGGTGTGTTGCGGAGATTACACACTGGCTCAGGGTACAAACCAATTTGAAACCCCTTTAGCTGAACACTATAAAAACTATGTATAACAACTAAATATGTGACATTAATCAGAAATCTCCTATACCCATCCCCCCTTTCCCCTTCAATTCTCTAGCCAATCTCTCCTCCGTCTTCGAAAGCTGAACCTCTCTCGTCCATCCCTCACCATCCCACCTGTCCCACAAACTCTTCTTCCTCACGGCTTCCCAGCCAGTCCCTTTAGACGGCGGATACCTCACACCCAGCACACCCATCCTATACCTCCTTAATTTCTCCATAAGATCATCCAACGCATCATCTTCAACCCGCCTCCGCGCCTCCTGCTTCTGTCGGAATTGCACCATGGCCGCCTCGTACTGCTGTTGCTTCAAAACAAAACGCGGCGGGTACCGGGGCACAGATCTCTTGAAGTCGCGGGTCGCGAGCCAGGATATTGGCGATGAAGAGCGGGCAGTCGAGGATGAGGTAATGTCGGGATCGGGGTCGGGTGGCAAGGATGAAGGGGTAAAGTCGATGTCGGCGTACACGAGTCCCTCGTTGATGAAGCGTTCCGTTCCCTGGAGTTTCTGATATAGTTCCTCAATTTCCTCTCTCAGACAGGCGTTTTCGCTCTTCGTGGCGCTGAATTGGCTAGTCGTTTTTTGAAGCTGGCTTTCTAGTGTTGCAATCTCCGTCTGTAAGTCGCGCAGATTCCAGTGCGACGCATCCTTTGTCTTGTTGTAGTAGTCTTTGATATACAATCGCATCTCCTTTTTCTGTGAGTCATTCTCTTCTTTAAATCCCCGATTGCGCTTTTCCAGTTCGTGTCTTGCGATCCTAGACTCCTCCTGCCAAAGCCGTGCGTTGGCTTGGTGTTTACTGGCTTCCAGTTGGAACTCTGCCAACTCGTTTTTAAGTTTGGTGATTTCTAGCTTCAACTCGCGATCCATTGATGCAGCTGCAACGTCTTGAAAGTCCTGGAGCTTTGCTTCCAAGCTCTTGCGCTTCTTTTGTTCTTCTTCATACAGTTTCTGATTCTGAAAAGTAAGTGCAGACCCGGAGCCTATACTACTCGTCTTCTTCTCGCTCAAATACTTGGACAGACGTATCTCCATATCTAGCTTCCCATTTAGCTGATAGTTTTCCTCTTTTAGTGCTTCAATAGCTTTTTCAAACTCCTGAAAGAGCTGGAGAAGTGAAGCAGCGTGATAATTCGCCACAGAGGCAAAATCTCCGAATTGTATTTTGCCCCTGACCAGGGCTGACTCATTTGTACCATTGACTAGGCTCGCAAACCTTTCTTTGACACAGCTTTCCAAAAATTCTAGATCATCTTTCAGCTGCATTAATTCGTCGTCAGTTTGTTGAGCCCAAGCCCTCGCATCCTCCATCTCTTCTTCCGCCTTCTTCACGTTCAGGCCAGCCGCTCGAAGCAATGCAATTTCGATAAGGGCATCCTCGAGATTGTCAGGGGCCTTGTCTTGCAGGTAGCATGTTTCAATGCGATTTTCCAATTCCACCACTTGGCAAACTAGCTCATTGTTCTTCTCCTGGAGCTGTGCATAATCCTCCAGTGAAATTTGTCGTTCAGGGAGAGATTCATTGTCCTGGTCCTGGACAGCTTGCAGTTGTTTCTCGGGTTTTATATACTGGTCCCGGACAGCGTCGTCAAAGTATCCTTGAAAGCTGGAATTGCCTTCCCTAGGTTGATTGGCATCTGCTATGACATGTAAAGCCTTGCTGGTGGAAGCCGTATCTGACGACGAAGTGAATGACTCAAGATGAAATGGATCAAGTGTGTGGCTGCGCTGCATACGGCGCCTCGATTTTCCAGGGCTACGAACTATGAGATTTGGTATCTCTACAGTCTCTTCGCGTCCACTGCTAGACGTTCGCTCAAATCCAGGCCTGGAAATGGCTACCGAGGAAGTATTCCCGAGATAACTAGGACCTCCACGACCCTCGGAAAACAACGATCGCTGACGCCGCAGGGAGTCTAGCCGTGTTGTTTGGTTGCTACTACTTATTGTTGACGTCTTTCTTACAGTGGATGGAAGATCCACCTTCTCATTTTGCTTTGCCATTGATGATTTTGTAGGGGCATCAAAGGTAGAGGTGTTTGCTTTACCCTGCAATAGTCGCGGGTCTCTCGGTTCGCCATCTGCATGTTTCTCAATATCTGGCTCTTCATCTTCTTCATTGCCTTCATGGATTCGATGTGCTGAAAGGATTGAGCTTGAAGCAATTATGTTTGGATTATCGACATGCGAATGATGTGATAGATTGCCTTCTGTGTCCTCAAAAGTGCCAGAGAGTGTCTCGCGTTGTCTCGCGGGAGGAAGTTCAAACGGCGCAGGCCCACCACGAGGAGACTGTTCTGGTGAGATGCCAAATTCGTTGTAAGAGTGGACATCAACTTCATGAGACTCGTGAGGTGTATCTCCAAAATTCTCCTTAACAAACTCCTCAGCCATGGTCTGTACGTTCCCCACTAGTTCTGAGACTCGTAATTGCTGAACACCTCACCGATGTGCTAGGAAGGTAGTGGGGTACAGATTCGCTTTGCCTGTACTGTGTTGTCGCCAATAGCAACGCAACGTTTGATGATATTGATGTGCCTTTGGTGTCTACTTGTCAACTGGGGCTGGCCTAGACCTTGAAAATCTGTTTGCTGTAATCAGTCGAACTTGCATGTCTTCGTTCCTTCGGCAACTATTCGCGTTGATTTCTCCAAATGGTATTGATGATCCGTGTATGTGCAGGCCTCCCGCTCCAGGCTCCAACATCAAACCTATGCGACTATTTTCACTAGCAGATATACTATTTACAAACTATCAGGTTTCCACTTTGCCTTTCCTTTCAAGCACTCTGTATTTGTTGTCATATACAGCAGGCTGAAAGTATGGCCTCACATATCTGTGGAAGCCATGGACTTGAAACAAAGGTATTCGCAGAGCCGCTTTGTCACGGAGCGTTTATGGGCAAGCCACCACGACGGAGAGAAAAGCTTCTTTGTACGTTTCACTGCTCGGAGACTTTCTTCAAGCCCATCCCGAAATACAGAAAGCAGCGAATTCGAGTGAAGTATCCATGGATCCGTTTTCGTCTGAGATGTACTGGTATTCTGAGCTGAATGGAGTAGTTTGATGCTCGAGCTAATCGATGTCAGAATGATTGAGACACGACTGCATCTCTGCAACGCGTGGCTGGAGTTTGGAGTAGCCCGTTCACTAACGGATAAGCACTACCGCGGCTCGCGAACCCTCAGGGGGTCGAAACTGTTTACTTGCCAGAGCGCCACACGTGAATAGGCGAATTGGTGAGGCTTTGCACGTGGTTCCCCGGGTTCAGCTTCCGCGGAGCCTAGTGCCAAAATGGCAATTGGTGCTGCGTTACGCCAGCGAACGAGCTAGGCGATTGCGCGAAGTGCGCAAAGCTTATAGTGACTGATGGAACATAGTCTCATTTGTTGATCTGGAGAGTTGAGTTCGTGAGCTGAGCGCTACGACTGCAAGGCTTGGTGCCCGCTCGTAAAGGGTTCAGTAGGAGAAGGAAGCTGCCCCTAAAACACCAATTCGAGACGTGCTCCGTGAGGTACCATACTTTGCGCCTCGTTAATGCTCATTACTTGACTGAAATAGGCCCGGACCGATTGGCTGCGAGATATCTGACCTGTTGATAAGACACTCCTGACCGTGGACGGTGTTGTCGTACTCTCCCATTAGTACCTACATTAATGAAGAAACTCAAATGTATCTTATCAATGCCATGTCCACATTGGCGCCACTGCCATTTTCTGATGGATTTGGATTGAGAAATTCCTTACCGGTACACACTAGACGACATGACAGTTCGAAGTGACTGGTCACGTTCAACAAGGTACGTACATTTGCGGAAGTACATGCAATCTCCTGTTTCACCACAAGGAGTGACTCAATTGCAGAGCGGAGCAACCATTGCATCATTGTCAGCGCACATGTGCATCTGTAATCATTCTGACCCAAATAAAATACCGGAAAGATGTAACGTGTGCATCTAGTACCAGGCAGCCTTGAGCTTGACGCGATACACAATTACCATTCGTCTAACTACTGCGGGATTTTCGAATAGTGTACCAGATACCGGAACGCTTGAGCCGGATCTAGTGTGTACTGATGTCTCTGCGATTAGTCTGGCTCATGTGGACGTCGCTCAGTCCGGGATGGGGGTGACCGCACGACAGATGTCGCAACCACTCTTGAACAGCCAGTACAATAGGTTCATTCAATAGTCGATGGGACGAAGTAGACTTAGCGCGGTCGGGGACTTCGGTAGGCCAGACCATCGACGGCAAACCCGTGCCATGACATCGTTCCATGGTAGGAAAAGCAGCTGATGTGGGGTAGATCGTTTCCTATTGCCGGTGCGGTGCGATACAAAGGATAGCTCTGCATTTAGCGCTCCCGAGAGGAAATAAGGTCAGTTCTGATCCACACAGCCAATTCTTCGCTCCCAGTGGCCATCTCAATGCAGCGAATGAGGAGTGGCTTGAGTGGGTCTGATACCAAGACGGCTCATATGGATGACGATGGCACCAGCGATGGTGCTCAAAAAGTTAGTATTGCGAGCGCTAACATGCTATCGGGAAAATATTGTGGCACGAATCCCTATTGCAAGATTTTGGGGGTCAAGAGGTGTGAAGAGATGAAACGATGCGGCGAGTGACATTACGTTGACAGTATCAATCGCAAGAGCACTGGTGGTGGCGTTAGCTTACTCTGAGCATACCGCTGCACGTGAGGGAGTTGTGCCTACAAACCATCTCGTCAGAGACCTGTTGGAAAACACCTAGTAATTCTGCTGGCCTTCTCAGGCTCCGCCCCAGAGGCCCTGCCGCTCTGAGCGGCAGGTACCAGTCAAAGATCCGGTCAGGATATGCATGTTCAGACTACACAGACCCCTGATTCAAAACATCCAGCATTGCCTACATGCAAGATGTTTTCCTAGGCTTTCGTTCGCTTGGTAAAGCCGATTACCGTATGTCTTTGTAGTTCGATCGACGTGGTTACACGAAACCAGGAGTACTGTTTGGTTGCCGCCCCGAAGCGGTTGTAGTGTACATTCCGTAAGCGGGATGATGCCTACTCACCACGATCAGCCGGAAACAACCGACTTCCTGCTGCATGCGACATGCAGAACCTTTCTGAAATGCCCGAAAATCAGCAAAGTTACTGCTGATGGGATCCTAGCCTACCGTAACGGTCTTGCCGACGAGATGCTTGAGCCGAACTAAAGTTACGTCGGACCACCGATAGCCGTGAACAGTGGCAATGGGGAAGATCAATCGCGTTCCAGGGCAGCGCCTCATCTCGTCTATAAAGTCACTCCGCGGACCTGAAAAGAATCCGAGCTTCCATCTTGCAGTAATGTACGAATCTGCAGTCTGCACCAGCGCCCAAACATAGACTCGTAAGGAGCAAGTGGTTTCATGTGAGCCTGACGTGGTCCTAGACCCGATGCCCTGACGCTTCGTAGCTTGTTGACGCACATATGGAGGCTGTTTGAGCTCACGGGGTATGGGAACCAGCCCTGCCAAGCTTGCTCAATCGCCAAGGGTAATGACATGAGAGGGGTGCAGGTGTCCGTAAAAAAGGATGCTTGGACCAATCTGCATTTCCATGGAACATTCGCTCCGTCCAACTATCGACAAGGTGATAAGGTGGCACTGTTCAAGGCATGTTATTGGCGGTAGAGAGGGGAGGATCGGAGTCCTACGATTGTCATTGGGCATGAGGAGTGTAAGGCTTGATCTGGGGATACTCAACTCCAAGGGTCGATACAACGGCTGGAGGGCCCAGATAGCTTGTGGCTTACGACAGCGACCGCATGTATGCGCATGACTTCTGCAAGCCATGAGCAACCCTGCCAGGTTCCACACATAGACACAGTTCGCGAGGGTACGTTGCTAAGGGCGCCCATGATGGGGGTAGCTCCCGATCGTGGCTGCTGCTATGGAGGGGCTGAGCGCTGGCTGCCACCTCCAAGGCGTCGACGACGAGATATTTTGGACTTGGGACGAACGAACGGACCAGGGGGCTGGTTTCGCATGGTCTCTCCATGCACTTGACAGCTTGCAGAGCTCCACTCTCTCAAAAGCAGCGCGAGTCCCTGGGAGTGACAAGCGCGCTGAGCTATCACCAATCCGGCACCTCTTTGTCCGCGTTCAGACGACCAAGTGAATCGCAATACACGTGAGCAGCGTATCTCGAGGCTAAGTAGTCGCCGCAACCACCTTTTGGGGATGGACGTCTAGACAAAGGATCGCATTCTATCGACTTGCCTGAACGCATTACTCAAGTTGCTGTCCAAACCGTTCCCAGTAACCGATAAAGAATAAGGCCGGAGCCCCAAAACCGAGACAGTCCGTCCAGCTGTGTCTCGCGGCGGAAACTCCGTCGCATAGTTTCGACATTGATTGCCAGTGTACCAAAAGCCTGGAGCCGGTGAGAAGCGGGTACCTGCAACAGGTTCGTTCCCTAAAGTCTTTGCGAACTCCAATGCATCATCGCGATGGAGCAAACGAAGCAATTGAGCTATACACTTGCCAAAATGACTGACGCTTTGGAAAGACCATATCTAGAAGCCAACATTACGACTATTACAGCCTTCCGAAAGAGCCTCAAGACACGCAGATCGACAGCGTACAGTTCGTGGTCAACATTGCAACAATCGTTGCCACCTGCGTGGACAAGTCATCGCGCCATCCACGGTGCACCCACATCTCCCAGGTTTGGTCCTCGTCGATATCACAAGTCCATTGAGTCGTTTGGATTGAGTCAATTGCGCCACTCAGCTCCAGCGTCTTGACAGTTTTCAGTCTAGGCCTTCAGGTCAGGCAGGACTTGGAAGTATGCAGGCTGAGACACTCATCCACCAACATCCTCCCACTCCGCCTATCAACGGTATAGAATACCAGGCAGGTTTGTCGCACATTGTGGAATATAACGCCGACGGCAGCTATTCCTTCAGTGAGGTTAGCCACGGTTCTCCAAGACCAATGGCCCACGAAACGCTCCCTTCGGGCATGCCATACATAAGTGGAAACTCCAGGAACGTACCCGGGTTAAGCATACAATATGTGAGACACTTACAATAGAATGACAGGTTACAGCCGCTAATCTCATCACAGGACGGTTACGGCCCTGCCACAGATTATCTCCATAGTGGGCAGTACAACAGCATGCAGGTACTTGACATCTGATATGGCCCTCCGATGATCTTGCTGATGTGATTAGAACCATCAAGGCCCGACGTCACCACCGACACCAAGGTCCCAAGAGGGCGATGACTCGGTGCAAAGAACCGTAAGAAGCGGCCGAATCGTAGCACCGGTGACACCACCTCGAAAAAACGATTCAACTCCTCCACCAAAAGCTCAGCCACGGGTCTTGAAGACACCGAGGACTCGGAAACCAAAAGCGGGAAAATCTGATAAACCAAAGACGCCAGAGCTGACAGCTCCCTTGAGCATTTTAACGAAGGAGCTACAGCACATTCCCGTCAAAAACATGGAGGAATGGGTCAACAGACCCCCAGAAGTAAGACATCTAGAAGCCCAGAAGCGAAACGGGTATATCACAAGACCCATGAATTCATTCATGCTGTATCGTTCGGCATACGCAGAGAGAGCAAAATCATGGTGTCTCCAGAACAATCATCAGGTTGTCTCTTCGGTAGCGGGCGAAAGCTGGCCGCTGGAGCCAACTGAGATACGTGAATTGTACAACGAGTATGCAAAAATCGAAAGAATCAACCATCAGAATGCGCATCCGACCTACAAATTTTCGCCGAGTAAGGCAGTGGTCTCTGTCAGGAAACGACGAAGTGAGTGGTCGGATGATGAGCCGAGTGATCTAGAGGATGCAGAATGGGCTCCTGGAAGTGGCAGCTCTCGTTCGAGACAGGCAAAAAGAATCGAGCGGTCCATGAGCTATCCTCACAACAATGTGGGGATGATCGAGTATATGGAACCACGCTTCGGACCAAATCGCCACGGCGTGAACACATCCACATGGGAGATGGCCAATGGAGGTAGACAGGTGCCGATACCGATGGCCCAGAATGACCTGTACAACCAATACTACCAGACCGCTGCGTACCAACAACCCATGTACATTGCCAGCGAGTATAACGATGCAACACATATGCGCAGGGTGGACGCGTCACCGCCTCCTGTCTCTTTCGCATCAGACAACAGTCTGTTGGGTCTGCCTGGCGGCAACTCAGATCTGTTGCGGCAATTCCCGTCTCATGGTAACACGCCATTTGACGATACACAAGTGGATCCCATATTGATGGGGTATGCTGGTGGCCACTCTGACATCAATCCTTCAACGCTTCAGCACAGCTACCGGCCAGGTCATTTGATTGCAGTCGATGAAAGGCTTCGTCAACAAGATCTCGATAATCTTCTTGAGTTTGGATTATCGAATGAAGAGTTCCGCAATGGCTCCTGGCAGTCGGATCCAACGATAGCAACGCTTGAGCAGGAATCGGAGTTTGAAAAGTGGATGGGGGGTGACCATTAGGCCAGTATATTTCGGATCAAGTTCAATAATATTCGCTGTCTTGGCCGTACATCGGTTAATGGAGCTGTCTACATAGAGGGCCATGGACCTCCTGCATAGACGAAACGCAACGGTTGTAAAACAACGAGGCTTCCCTTTGAACGTGTGAGCGTAGTTTTAGCCTGAATCAGACATTTTATGTGAGATTCGATTTCTGTTGTCACATTACCCGTGGTCACTGGCATGCTAAATTGGACACTCGCAGTGAAATTGTTCGAGTATACTCAATTGCCATGTATGACCAGATGGTACCAATCCGTGTGGTATTGGATTAACGGCTCTCTAATTAGTCTTCTAGTAGTGGAAATTGGATATCCTGATCGATTTCAGCGAATGGACTTTGAGAGAAGGGAGCTCCAGGCAGGAGGCAGGCCATCTGACCATGGGACCGCCCAGACATGGCATGGCGCTAACAGTGGGGCACGTTAGTGCGCTGCCGTGTCTTGCCTAGTATTATTTACTACTAGTATAATTTTAAGTAAGAATAGTGAACTAACAGGGAGAGTAACCCATTTAAACAAGGAGAAGGAGGAGGGCTTGGACAAGGTAGTAGATATCTTATAGTGATTAACTCAGTTTAGAAAAAGAATTAAGGAGAAGAAATTTCTATTAATAAGATGTGTTAAAGAATCAAGTCTTAAGAGGCCTAATATTCTATCCTATAATCCTCCCCTCCTTTATACGTTTAACGTATATATATCTGTATCCTTATCTCCTAGCTCCTTCTAAGCTAGCTCTTTGTAAGTAAATTCGCTAAGGCAGAGCTGCAGCGTGGATATTAGAGTTAATGGCAGAGGGAGTAGACATAGTAATAGTTTGTAGAGTAAGTAAAGAGGAGAAAGGAAAGTACTATAGGGTCTAGTAGCTAGTTAATATAGCTTATTAAGAGGGACTAAGAGCATAAGCAAGAGAGTGAGGGTGAGGGTGAGAGTGAGGGTGAGGGTAAGAGTGAGGGTGAGAGTAAGGGTAAGAGTAAGGGTAAGAGTAAGGGTAAGAGTAAGGGTAAGAATAAGGTTAAGAGAGCGATTATAACAAGGTACTATATCTTAATAGCTACACAATTATATATCTCCCTCCTTACCCTTATAACTTTTAAATAGAAGGAGCTATATAGCAGGGTTAGTAGCTGCTAGTAAAGTTAGGTAGTAGCTAAGCCTCTAACGTTATACATCGCAAGATTAACCTAGCAAACCTTACCTTTACTAGCTATTTATAGTAAGAAGGCCTACTTTCTTAGCTCCTATAGCCATGGCTATATATTTAAGCCCTCCCCTATCTCCCCTCCTACTAACAACTTCTCTACTCTTTCTTCCTTACGCAACAAGCGCTCTAAAACGCCCTTTAATTGACACTTATTGCCCTTTACCTTTCCTAGGAGCCCTAATAGTAGAGCTTCGGCTCTTGCTTCTGCACTAGTAAGGACGGCTTTGCTGTTGGTAGTCAAGTTACATGAAACAAAGGCCTCTGGCTGGGCATTAGAGTTGCTTGCTGCTACTGTTGACAATTCTCTCTCTTCTTAGCTCTTTGAACGTAGTGGCCTAATCACCCATAAACTTTAAGGGGTCTCACCTAGTCTGCTACGCGCAATTAGGTCTGTCAGCCAGCAACTGTCCCAGTCTGCCTTACGCAATAGGGTACAGGATCCTCACCTACATGCGTCAACGCTGTAGCTAAGCAGCAACCGCAGTCTGCTTCACGCCGCAGCTGTGTATAACTTATAGTTTTCTAAGAGTAGAGGGGATATCACTTGGGTGCTTCACAACCCTACCTTGTACAAGGGAATAAGGTACTATAGGTTGCAATCCTACGTACCTGGCGGTCTTGGACGTTGTGTGGTACCATAGGTGCAGTCCCTATACTCTGGACGATTACACGGTATCGATCACCCACTAGCGTCTCTAATGACTGTTCAACTGCTTTCAACGTATCAACGGTTGCAGGTGAGCCTGATTTAGCAAAGGAGAACCTAGGGAGGGCCCGTTGTTGTTGCCAGCTTGCTGGTGCAATGAAGGAACTTGTTATGACTTGAATCGTTGCGCAACATGGAGGACTGAAATCGTTGCGCGCCTAGATACCTGTTATACTAATGTGCAAATCTCTGCGGATCAAAAGCAGGCGCCAAATTCACATCTGCCGTACACCGTACTAAGCAACATTTGATCACGTCTTCATACCTAATGCCGTCGTCGCCGCCCACGTGCAAAGCTGTTGCTCCTGGTCTACATCTTGTCTTGCTTATGAGTCTATGGTAGAGCACAATGAAAGGCCCTGAGTGGGTGCGAAACTTCTTGAACGATATTCATTGATGAGATAGAATAATCAAGTCTACAATGACGCCAAACCTCGATTATGAGAGTACTGGCGAAGCTGGAAGGGCAGCCAGGTGAAGGTAATGTGTTCCGAGTTGGCGTTGGCAGAATGGCCCACTCCTCGACTAGCGGCCCGTCGCGCCCGATGTGGACCCCAGAAGGGCGAGAGTGCCAAGCAACCCCACATTGCGCTTTGTTTTGGCTCCTGCCGCTCCTCAATGATAGCAATCAACACCCATTGCTCTCGACTTCGCCATGGGCACATACGCATCGCAATGAAGCGAACGCGATCGTACAGCGAATTTCCACCATGCTGCGATTCAACAAAGCGCCACAGAAGGCATAGTGCACATGTTCGCTCGCCTCGCGCCTCGCCACCTCCATCGACACCTGCTCTTACTGAAGAAGCACTTCACTCCTTGCAACAATCATACTCCACAACAGCTCACCCACTGACACAACAAGAAGCCCTCGGTGGTCTAGTCAAAATGGCAGCACCTCCAATCCCCGAAGCGCAGCTTCATCACACAGCCGGGGCCGCTTCACGAGGCGTGATGCAAACGCCCGTCGGTTTCGAACACCCAGTCCGATGAAGAAGCCTTCTCCACAAACGTATAGGACGTGCAATATGCATCACGCCAACGTTTTTGTTGACAACTTGGGCGACCTCCCGCCTGCAGTCGACAGCGAACTGCGACGAATACTTGGAGTTACATCATTGGAGGATCATGTGATAAATTCGGCAGATGAGCCACACTGCAGCGACGTAGCAGAACGGTACCGGTCTGATTCACAACGGAATGCACGTGAATGCTCACTCGAGGGCGATTGGAAGGCAAGCCTATTTGGGCTTTTAAGGACGCTGTCGGAGCATCAAGCGGCTGGCGGATTGAAGGTGCACATGTCGGAAAAACGTAATTTGCTGCATGCGAACATCTATGACAAAAAGCTGACTTCCTGTACCAGTATGGAACCCGACCCTTAAGCCAATGGGCTCATCGCCGGACGATCCACTGGGACGACGATGATCGCGACACGCGTACGCCACGCTCATCACAAAGTGCCCTACCCGATTTCGATCCGACTGAAGCTGCAAATACTGCCGCCTCCATTTTTAATGCGTCTGCGCCGTCACTGCCCTCATCTACACCATCTGTCACACCTACTACCAGTTCAGAAGCCGCAGATCCATACCATATATCGACACCAAAACCCGATATCACAGTTGCGCTTGCACATACTGGATTCGAAGGCCGGCAGCAGCGGCGGCTTGTTGATCACCAGGCGGCCGCCTCAATTCTGAGTGATCCGCATGCAGCTGATATGGGAACCCGATTTCCATTTTTGATCGTGGAGGCGAAGGGCCAGAGTCTCAATGGCAGTGTAGTATGTGCGCAGAATCAAGCTGCTATCAGTGGGGCGTGTATGCTCACGATCCTGCGAGACCTGAGCAATCAGGCAGACTGGAACGCTAGCTCGACTGCTGAGTGCGTGACGGGAATGCAACAGATTCCAGCGCTCTGCTTTTCTCTCGTAACTGCAGGTCCAACACACGAGCTAGCTGTGCACTTTTTGCATCATGGAGCATTTCATATGTACTGTTTCAAATCATGTCGCACAACACTGAGTCCAGACTCGAGGATTCTTGTACACTTTCTCCATAAGATTCTGCTATGGGGCTGTGGCCGTTTCAAGGACGCCATTGTGGAGCAGCTAGAGAAGCTTTTAAGATGTTCAACTCTTCTGTGAATGCGAATCCGAGGACTAGGGTTTTTCTGTTGATATTGACACGCCTAGCATGTAGATGAATATTCGCACTCGATCCACTTCACCTTCTTTGCGCGAAGCCCATCGTGACACTGCTTTCAGGAGATAGCCTCAAGCTGCATTCGCTCTGAAAAGCCTTCTTTGAAGCTCAAATCCTCTCCCCAGGCGCATTGGCAGTTTGACCCTCGCCCCATCCCAACCAAAAGCCATCGAGACACAGTCTGCCCTTAGCCCTGCTACTTCCGCCATACGTTCAGTACTTTTATTGACCGTGTCGCATACTACAGACAGGAAAACTGCACTGGCATTTAGGTTGAATGCATCCTTCAGCGTGAAAGTAAACCTGGGTGGGTTTTAATGTGGCTTCCCATCCACCTTGATCACAAAGAGAGACGTCGCGAGCTCTCTCACATGTTCCTCGCGAATCTCCAATATCAGGAAGCAAGAGGCGTAAGCGCTTCTAAGAAACTGGATCGTGACTACTCCAGTTTCCATGCATTGTTGATATCTTGAGCTTCTAGTATAGTAGCGTGGCTAATAGTATAAGAAACCTTGGTTAAGTATAAGACGGTTCGCCGGTGGTTGCCCTATCTAGTTAGGCTATGCCATGTCTGGGCGGTCCCATGGTCAGATGGCATGCCACCCACCCAGGCGGCAGGAAAGTCTCGTCGCATGACGTTGGACTCGAAACGGTGCACGGACGTGAAGCTCGCGGCCCCACCTGCCTTTCGCGACACAAACGCGCCTGCTGCGAGGAAGATGAGGGGTCCCACATATTCACATGGAAAGACCACAAGGGTTCCCATTTCAACGTGTCATTGGCAATATATCTCACTCTCTCACACACTCTCTGAGCTCTCTTCTGACCATTTGCGACTCCATCGTTGGCTGGGGACTTCTACAATTTGCCCAATTGTACCGGTACAAGCTTGATACCAACCCACCTGCACAATTCGACACGAACAACAAGAGCTTTGATATCTCAACCACCCCCCTCCCCAGTAACAGTGTTATACTAGAAATTGCAGCTTCCATAATGTATGGTGAAGCAGCCAACAAACTGGTACTCAGCCCCATTCCCCATCCATACCAACATTGTCTGACCGTAAACCCCCAGGTCCAAAATGCCAAACGCACCCAAGCCCTTCCGCACCTCCCTCCTTATGCCACAGAATTAGTGCGCTCTATCGTCCGTGAAGTTCGTGATCTCGACAAGGACGTGTCCATCATCCTCGCGCCATATAGCGGCTCTTTCGATCCCAAGGACGCTCCGGAGACCGCATGCGCATTGCTCGTCAATCACCTGTGTATGCGACGTAACAAGCGCTGCTTACTGGCGTACCATCGCGTGCGTAGTGATAAGTTGGAAGAGTACTGCTGGGACGGTGTGGACGTGCTTGAGCAACAGGGCACCAGCAATGCAAACGCAAATGGGGAACGGCCAAGAGACGCAGGCATGGGTGGAAAAGGTGGTGAGGAGAGCAGTCTGAGTCCCGAGGAGGAAGAGTATGTGCGGCAATATAGCGACCTACTTGCCGCGTATAAGGGCCAATGGACAGACATTGATCTCACAGGCAGTCTGGAGCCCCCGCGCGACCTATTCATCGATGTGCGCGTGCTGAAGGATGCGGGTGAAATTCAAACCGAGTACGGGTACGTCATCTGTGCGCTCTGTCTTGCATATTTCCATGTCAACACACAGCAATGCCCTCCATCCCCATTCAGATAATACTTGGAAGGAAGATATTGACAAAATGCAATGCAGGTCCATCACTCTCACCAAGAACAGTCAATTCTATGTCCGCCAAGGCGACGTCGAACGTTTGATTGCACAGGGATATCTTCAACGCCTTAGCTGAAGGATTCGGTAAGGGTTCGTGAAAGCGATCATTATTGCTGTGTGATACATGCTTCGGTTACCTATCCACGAGACGGCCTTCTAGAAAACCTGCGTCTCCGAATCCTTCAGACCTCCATGCCACTGAGACGCATACACGGCACTCACTTTCTTGGGCGAGTTGATTACACGCGTCTAAAACTCGCAACGCTTGCGTAGAAACATTCTTCCCACTCCATGGGCGTGTCACTAGCCCGGGATCTGCTTGCTTTCGCACGAGCGTCAAGGATCCTCATCCTACTTAGCCGCCCAGAACTTGGGTGCAAAGTGCATTAGTATCGAAATTAAGTTGGCCTAACCCAACATCACGCTGCGCGCCTTACTCCAGAAGCGGACCCTGTGCTTTAGTATGGCCTCAATCTCAGGTTGTCGGTGCCTCAACAATCGGGTTAGCATATGCTGGGGCGCCCAAAGGGTTTCCCCATAAAGCACAGATATGTTCCATGGTGACGGCAAGGCTGTGCGCACAAAACCCGAGGCGTGACTTTGTGCGCTCCTCCAACCGGACCCGAGAATGGCAAGATGGGGGGTTCAATCGCGGTATCCCCTCCTCTCGTCTACCCTGGGAATTGGCTTTTCTACGTAGCCTTGATGGCTGTGTTTACCTTTGTTCCTGGTAAGACAAGTGCAGAGAGATCTATCTGCGCAGTACCCGAACCCTGCTGTATCGACCTGCATCTTTGCGGCACGAGTATCTGCGCTCGCCGCTCTTAGATGCACCACTCTTACTGTGTACGCAAGGGCCTCGATTAAGTGCATGCGATTCGGTGGGAATTGACATCGGCGGTGAAGGAATTAGACTGTTGTTATCGAATCAAGTACCCATCCCAATGTGAATTCGACTGACCCTAGTCTCTGCTCTTGGCTCGAGGACGTCATAAATTAATCTCGAATCATCAATCACTGTCATGGATGTTCTAACGTTTTTTTGGATGTCGTCTCATTATAGTTATCTGTCTAAGACTAACAGTAGACGCCCCATGCCTCCAAGGTGAACGCATAGTCCCTTCATTTTCATGCAACCCATGACTATCCATTATTCCACCCGCATGACCACCACCAACAAGAATCGTTCCTAGGTAATGAGGCGACTGAGGTTACCGACATTAGGCCAAGATGGAACATGCATGACATAAATCGGTGAAAAAGCCGCACCCGTCAATATGAGCCGCTCATCAAGGACGCGTGATAAGTAATCGGAGCCCAAGTCGTTTTCGCAATGGTGAAGCTTGTAGAAGGCGCAGTAGACACACAGCGGTCGAGCCGAGGACCATCAGAAGGGAAGGCCGGTGCTGCGAGACATTATGTGAATCAAGAGAAAGTGGTAAGGACCGCTGAGCAGCAGTCTCGGTTAGAGGGATGAACTTACTTGGAAAGGCCTGAAGTATTGGCGGAGGTTGAAGATGTTCCGTCTCGTGTAGGTTTTTTCCCGTTGAAAGCCCCGGCCTGAACACCTCGCCAATGCCACCATCCCAACCCAGACCAGAAAGACAAAGCCAATCACCAGCCTCTCGATGCAAATCGCACCGATCCAAGCAAGATATTCTTTGGGGTTGAAATATACCTCGAGGTGAGTAAAGTTCCTCAAATGATGCTGTAACTCTTAGATGACGCTGTAACGCCCAGGAACCCGGGTTTGTGCCGCTGCTTCCTCCGCTGCAATGGTGCCCTCGCGCAGCAGACGCGTGAGTTCCATCATAGCTTCCGTGACTACATTTTCCGTATCACCCTCAACTAAGATGTACAATTTGGGTTGTTCGCCCTCTGCCGGCTCTTTTCCTGGTGGATGGAAGGTACCTTTGGTGGTGATCGACACACCAGTCTGTTCGAGGATCTTCGCAACGTTCGTACGGTTGGTAACGGCCCAGCGAGCCTTTTGCGGGAAGTCGTTGATCTCAATGGTGGCGTGGTAGAGACCTGCATCCGGACCCTTGTTGTCGATAGGTTGACCAGCATGGATCGCGCCCTTCTTGCTAAGACGACCGTCGACCTTTTGGGCAGCTAGCATGGCCTTTTCTCTGCGAGACATTGGGGCACCGCTGGGCGCGGCTTCCGGCCGTTCAGTCTTCTTAACAATGATCTTGCTGTTAAGCAGCTTCATCCAAGTCGGTGTGTCCTCATCAGCTGCGGTTGCGTCAGCAGACTTGGCGGTAACGGTGCCAGTACCAGCAGCAGAAGCAGGAACTGTAGCAGTAGCAGTAGCAGTAGCAGAGCCTTCGGCCGCCTTAATTACAGGTAATTTAACTTCCTCCTCTTCGTCACTCTCCACGCCTTCGATCTTAAGTGCGCGTTTCTGAATCTTCTTCTCAAAAGCACGTGCAGCATCAAGCTTGTCAAGACCCTTGCCACCGAAACCGCCGTAGTACTTTTCAGCACCCGTCTTGGCCTTCTCATGGAATGCGTCAGCCATCCTTTGTAGTTGTTCCGGCACTTCAGTATCGCTCTCCTTCAAAGCTTTGACGACATGAACAGCAAAGCGCTCCTGACCAGGGTCTTCGATCAAAGTTATGGCAGTCCCTTTATTGCCAGCACGTCCAGTACGTCCACAGCGGTGGACGTAATCTTCCAAATGTGTAGGGCAGTCAAAATTGAACACCAGTGCAAGGCCGGGAACATCAAGCCCGCGAGCTGCGACAGACGTAGCGATGAGAATAGAAAGGACACCTTGTTTGAAATCATTGAGAGCTTCGTTACGATCAGTCTGATCTTTTGCGCCGTGAATTGTGTTCACAGATAGATAAGAAACCTTGAAAAGCTTTGACAAAAGATCCTCAGCAGTCTCCTGTCGTTCGGTGAAGATCAATACTTGCGAGTTCTCATTCTCAGAGAAGACTTGGCCGAGATGTAGTAGCAGCTTGGCAATCTTCTTCTCGTAAGATGGGGGAACAAACTCGATGATTTGAGTGATTTCAGGAGCAACCTTGCTGCGACCACCGATGATGACTTCTGCAGGCTTATTCAGAGCTTTGCGGGCTAGCGAAGCCATGCTCTTGGGAAACGTAGCAGAGAAGAGAATAGTCTGACGGTCTGGACGGATAGTTGCAAGGATCTTCATCACTTGAGGCTCAAAGCCCATGTCGAACATGCGGTCAGCCTCATCAAGCACAACGTATGTAATGCGTTTGAAATTGAGCACTCGACCCGAGTTGCTTTGCAACAGATCAATGAGTCGTCCCGCAGTGGCGCATAAAATGTGGATACCGCCTCGCTTGATCATGGCAATCTGATCAGAGATAGGTTGGCCACCATAAGCACACTTGATCGTGATATTGGAAGCACTGAGAAAAGGCTTCAGCTCACTGACAATTTGCAGAGAAAGTTCTCGAGTAGGAGCAAGAATAAGACCAATAGGTCCATCGGAACCCTTGAGTGGGCGCTGATCAAGAATATGACGAATCATGGGAATACCGAATGCAAGTGTCTTTCCAGAGCCAGTTTTGGCTACACCGATAAGGTCACGGCCAGACTCAGCAATGGGGATAGCTTGTGCCTGAATGGAAGTGGGGCGCTCATAACGTACGCGCGTAAAGACATCCATAGTGGCTTGCAGCAAGCCCATCTGAGCCCACTTTGTAACCGGTCGGGGAACATCATCTGGCTTGACTTTGATTCCATCGAGTTCGTGACGGAGATCGGCGACCTCTTCTGGTGTCATTTGGCTAATTTCGGCTGGCTCAGTGTAGAAGTCTTTGCGGAATGGCTCGTACTCAACTTTGGCGTGGTCGACGATGGGCACTTCCTTCTTCTTTTTCCTGGCGGCGCGAAGAGCGAGAAGGTCTTCTGCTTCGACAGATGTCTGTTCTGGTTCGAGGTCGTCGTTGAACATGGGTTCACCTGGACCCGCAGGGCCAGGCTGCGCATCGTTAAGGTCGGCCATGTAGGCGTCAAGAGGGTCAACGTCTTCTGCTTCTTCAGCGCCTGCGTCATCGTCAACTTCCATCTTCTCGCCAGATTCGGCGGCGACTGGGGCTTCTTCCATGACAGTGTCTTCCATCTCCGCACTCGCGTTAGCGATCTCTGCCCGGCGCTCCTCCAGACGAGCTTGGAGCTGTGCGTTGCTCTCCTCATTGTCGCTGTGAATGGCGCTCATCGCATCGTCTTCGTCTGCGTCAGCTGCATGCTCAGGCTCATCGAGAGGGGCGAAGGTTGGGAAAGCTTGGGGCTTGCGCCTCCTAGTATCGATATCATCATCGAGCAAGGCCTTCTTGGAGCTTTCCGCCTCGACTTCCGCAGCAGTCTTGGCCTTGAGTCCGAAGGTGCCCATGTTGCCATTAGCTTTGACCGCAGACTGGTTGGCAGCCGCGTTGGTAACGGGTGTGCCTGCAGGCTTCGCAAGCAGTGGCCTCGCGGCGGCCGACTCATCAATCTTGAAGGTCGGCTTCTCCGGCTGCTTCTGCTTGCCTTTCTCAGTAGGAATCTTCTGGAGGACTTTAGTCTTGGGAGTGTTTGCTTTCGCCTCACTCGCAGCAGGTGAAGCACCAGCAACCGTGGGTGTCGACGGTGCGGTGATGGCAGGCGAAGCTTCGTTGCCAGGAGTGTCGGGCTTGTCTTTGGCCAGGCGCTCCGCATTGCGCTTCTTCCATTCGGCTAGCTTTGCAGCCCGCTCAGCGAGCTTGTCTTTTGCAATCTGCTCTGGTGTCTTCTTCTTGTCGTCGTACGATGTACTGCTTCGCCTGTCGCCGTCACGCCTGGCATCTGGCGCCGGTGTACCCGAAGCGCGCGATGAACCGGGTCGACGAGAAGTAGAACGTCTCCCACCGTCGTACCTGTCACGATCATCGTATGGACGTTCACGGTCTCCACGCCTGTAGCGATCACCGTATCTGTCTCGAGAGCGGTCACGATCCCGGCGAGGTGGAGAACGGGAACGGCGACGATAGCTATCGCGGTCACGGCGGTCATCACGGCGATCATCACGCCTGTCATCACGGCGGTCGACTCCTCTGTCTCTGTCCCGGCGGTCGCGGTCGTCCCTCACACGGGGGCCCGCTCCACCACCACCGCGGCCGTCGCTGCCACCACCACCAGCACCTCCTCCTGCTACATAGCGGTCACCATGGCGGTCACCATGGCGATCGCGCGAACGATCTCGGCGTCCAGCAGGCGACCTATCACGACCACGGCGTGGTGGAGAGTAACGTCCTCGATCGCGGTCGTACCTTGAAGTATCAGCATGGCGCGTCGCCATTGCGGCTGGTCTTGGTGGATTACTGTCTGCAATCAGTGGAGTAGTGTCGTATTATAGCAGTCAGGCGTCTTCGAGGAAAGATAAGTTGCTAGCAGCCTTAAAATGGATCGTTGGTGAGGGTAGTGCGAGCAAATGACTGTCGCCGAGTTTGCGTCCAGGTCAAAGGTTAGGTTGGAGAACTTGCGGCGGTCGTGCCTTCCTCTTGGCTAAAGGCTCCACACGTGCATTGGCGCTAGTAATTTTAGCTGCAGCGAAATCTTGGCATCCAAAAAAAATTGGGAAGGTGCAACTCGGGAGCAGTGAAGGCCCAAAAACAACGACATATCGCTGCAATGTCTGTCAATCCGCGCAAGAGAAAGGTCGTGACCCGTCCAGTGCCCCCGCCGAGCGATTCGGAGGAAGAACTTGCCGATGGGCTTCTGGAGGGCATCTTGTCGCATTCTGAAGACGACTCCGAGGACAGTCAGGCAGAGGAGGAAGACGAGGAAGATACCGATGCAAGCAGTGTGATCGAGGGGCTTTCAGATGAAGATGAGGAAGAGGATGAAGAGGATGACCCCGACAGCGACGAGAAGCAGATTCGCGAACAGATACGCAACCTAAACACCTCCGGCGCCTCTCTCCAGCGCAACAAGGGCCAGGCAACGCATGACATGGACTTGGATGCAGGCGCGAATGGTGGCCTCGACTCTGATAACGAAGACTTGAAGCCCAATTACACCGTCACAACCGATGCGCATGGCAATACCCGCTACATCTACAAGGAGATCGACCCTGTCTACGAGTCTGACGATTCCGATGCCGAAGCAGTCAACACGATCGGTAACATTCCGCTCAAATACTACGACGAGTATCCACATATCGGATATGACATCAACGGCAAGAAGATTATGCGACCGGCCAAGGGCGAAGCACTCGATGCCCTGCTAGACAGCATCGACATACCCAAGGGCTGGACCGGCCTCACAGATCCCCAGACAGGAAAGCCACTGAATTTGTCAGAGGAAGAGCTGGACGTGTTGAAGAGACTCACAAGGAATGAAGTGGTGGAAGATGGCTATGATCCCTATCCCGACATGGTGGCTTACTTCTCTGGTGTCAACCAAGAAGTCATGCCTCTGAGCGCGGCGCCCGAACCCAAACGGCGGTTCATTCCGTCGAAACACGAGGCTAAGCGCGTCATGAAGATTGTCAAGGCCATTAGAGAAGGTCGCATCCAACCCTACAGGGCCCCAGATGAGCGAGAAGAAGAGCAGGACGAGTTCAACTTCGACATATGGGCCAACGAGAAGCCCCGGCCTGACAACTCGATGCACATTCCTGCGCCCAAACTACCTCCGCCAGGCTACGAAGCAAGCTATCACCCACCCCCTGAGTACCTGCCAGACAAGGCTGAAGAGCAAGCGTGGCTGGAGCAAGATGAGGAGGATCGCGAGAGGGAGTTCTTGCCCAAGAACTTCGATGCACTGCGCAAGGTACCCGGTTACGAGACTTTTGTTAAGGAACGTTTCGAGCGCAGTCTGGATCTTTACCTTGCCCCACGTATACGAAGAAACCGGCTCAACATCGATCCCGAATCCCTTCTACCCAAGCTCCCAGATCCTGAAGATCTCAAGCCCTTCCCAACAGCCTGTGCGGCAATCTTCCGTGGCCAAGAAGGCCGCGTACGATGTATCTCCATCGATCCTCAAGGCATCTTCGTGGCTAGTGGCGGAGACGATGGCTACGTACGAATCTGGGAGCTCCTCACTGGCCGCCAGGTTTGGAACGCAAAGCTCTCCTCCGAGGAAGCCGTCGACGCAGTCCAATGGCGTCCTACAAAAGATGCATGCATCGTGGCCGCTGCCTCGGGAGAGAACATTTACCTCATCATCCCCTTCACCCTCCTCTCCCCCGACATTGAGCAAGCCTCGCGCTCCGTCCTCGACGCAGGGTGGGGCTATGCCACTTCCAAACCCAGCACCACGGCCCCCAGCGAGCCCCCCAAAGTCGCGCCCGGAAAATGGACCCGCCCCGGCGCACGTCTAGAGGCCAAGGGCGTCCTCATCCAAGTCGAAGTCCGCTCAGCCGTCAAGGTCATCAACTGGCACCGCCGCGGCGACTACTTCGCCACCGTCTCCCCACGTGGCCAATCCTCTTCGGTCGCTATCCACACCGTCTCCAAACACCTCACCCAACTCCCCTTCCGCCACCTCAAAGGCATCGCGCAAACAGCCCAATTCCACCCCTCGAAAGCAATCTTCTTCGTCGCCACCCGCAACACAATCCGCAGCTACGACCTCGCCAAGCAGGAACTCGTCAAGATCCTACAGCCAGGCGCAAAATGGATCTCGAGCATCGACGTCCATCCCGGCGGCGACAATCTCATCGTAGGCACCTACGACAAGCGCCTCCTCTGGCACGACCTCGACCTCTCCAATAAACCCTACAAGACCCTGCGCTTCCATAAGCAGGCCATTCGCGCCGTGCGCTTCCATCAGGGTGGCCTCCCGCTGTTTGCAGACGCAAGTGACGATGGCAGTTTGCAGATTTTCCATGGCAAGGTTGTCGGCGATCTCATGGAGAATGCGACGATTGTGCCGCTCAAGGTGTTGAGGGGGCATCGGGTTAGGAGTCGTCTGGGTGTCATGGATGTCGAGTGGCATCCTAGGGAGCCGTGGTGTGTTAGTGCGGGGGCGGATGGGACGATTAGGTTGTGGTGTTGAGATGGATGTGTATACTTTTTGTGTAGGATGGGGGTGTAGGGTATAGTGTTCGCATTCAAGGGCGTTTTTAATTGGACCCAATGGCAGAATAATTCCATTATGTCTGTCTGTCTCTCTGCAATGTCCTGAGAATTACCTACCTGTCCACCTACCTACCTGCAAACAAGTCAGATATCAGTATCGCATCTGTCAAATCCAGAATCTCCATCATAAAACACAATTACAAGAAGTGAGTACCGCTCATCTGAACAAGAGCAAACCACACTTCTCCACCCCAAGCGAAATCAATCACCCCGAACAACAGGGAATCAGCAGTATACGCAAGATAAAAGATACCCAACCAAACACATCTACAACGTCAGTACACCACCCAAATCACATAAAACACAACAACACCCCCACACAAAATCACAAAACACCACTCCAAAGTCTCTCAAGTGCAAAGTCCAAGTTCCAAGAGGCAAAAAAAATCCCAGATCCAAAACAGTAAAAAAAAAAATGTATATCCGATACCCAGCAACAGAGCAAGCCATTCACAGCAAGGCCGCGGCCCCTGATCCAGAAATCCAACAAGAATAAAATCTAAAAAGGACTCTTGCGTCCGGCCAGAAAATGCGGCACGGGACCAGACTAGACTAACCTGACCAAAAGCAGCGAGAAGAGTCCAGGTAATGTGGTATGTGTTTTGATGCGAAGCCGCTCGTGTGTGTACCAAAGAGGAGGGGAATAAAAAGATGGCCGGTGGGGAACGCCGTGTCGATTTGGTAATTTGTGGTTGGAGGATTAGTCAAGGATGGATGAGAGGGGGTGTTTCCGGTGGTGATCTGGTATGCTGTGGAGAGAGATGGGAGGGGAAACCGAGTCGAAGAAGGGGGTGCGGGTATGGAGGTCGTGGTTGGTGGGTTTGAAACGGCGGGGTTTGTTGTACAGGTGTGGTGTGGTGAGGAGTGGTATGATATAATATGGTTCGATGTTGTATCGACGAGTGGTGGTGGGGTGGGGGTGGCATGATACGATGTGGTATGAGAGGGGATAGTCGACGATGATTTCGACGCCAAGGATATCGAAACCGTATAAAGGAAAGGCGCAGAATAGCTGCGCGGACGGGACAGAATCTAGAGGTTGTTTTAACCCAGACAACTACAGCATCTTGGTATTTGTGTAGTCCACGGGTGTCGAGGATACAGAAGAGGGCTGTGTCGAGGGCAGGAGGACAATGTCGGCCTCTTGGTTGGAAGTCCATTGAACCTCCATCTTTCTTTGCTTTTCCTGTCCCGTCGCTGCGAGTCACCTTTGCTGGTGCGAGCGTGGAGTTTCCTGAGACGGCGATGGCCATGCAGGCGGTGATCGACGCAGACCAGGTGAGTAGCGGGCCTGCTCCGAGACGAGTGTTGCAGCTGCGCTCATTGAGAAGGGTGTTGCGCTTCCCAATTGGGGTGTTCCTTTATAGGATGGGCTACTGCCAGGCGGTTGGTAGGTGGAACGGACCGTCGATGGCGTTGCAGGAGAGCGCCCACCAACTGGTGGCGCCCTGGGCGTTGTGCTCGCGCCGCTTTCCATACTCGTGTGTCTCGTGTGTCGTGCACGCGGTGGTGTAGTACCTTGGCTCCCTACTCGTGCATGGCGTTGTGTCTCTACACGTGGCGTGATCTCGTGGCTGCCACCCTCCTTTGCTCGTGGGGCAGACGTACTGGCTGAGGTACCGCGACTGCGAGTCGTGCCCCTGGCCTGGATCTGAGCGGAAGTATCTATGCTCGGAGGTGCTTCGGCTGCCCGTCTGCTGGCTTGAGGACTGTGTTGCGGAGGCGGGAATGTAGTTCTACTTGCTTGTTCAGTTGCGCCACCACTTGTTTGAGGGGGACCTTGCGGCTCGGGGCTTCCCATGCCTCCCAATCGAGGTGTGCCTTCCCAGCTTTTGCGCTTCCTATATAATTGTCAGTTCAGTGGCAAGTAATGATGAGCGATGGTATGGACGTACATCATCCTACCGAGAATGCTAACAAGTTCGGCAGCATCTTCAAACTCTGTGTCGTCCATGGCTTCTTGAGCTCGATAAACATCCTTAATCGCACGGCGAGCGATGCGTCGCGACCCATCATGATCATGTAGACAGTCCCACAGAAACGCGCTGTGTTCAAGTGCGACTGACAAGCGCAAGGGATGGGACCCTGGTAGATAACTCGTAGCATATGAAGTGGCTGTAGTGAAGTAGCCACCGGCCAAGGGTACAAAGTTCAGAGGAGGTAGAATGAAGGAAGAAGGCTGCGGAATTGGTATAGGATTCAGTCCTGGTGGCGCATTGATCGTCGGCCCAGGTGACGGTGTTCCAACCGGTCCTCCGGCTCCTGCGTAAGGATTGGTAACAAACGATGATTCTGAGACCATGGAATTGATTGGTTCACGCAATGTAGGCTGCTTTCCTGCACGCTTTGATGAAGGGGAGAGCCCGGGATCATTCTTGCGTTTAGGAGAATTCGGTAAAGGGGGCCCACCAGGTAGTCGAGGATCAGTGGATCCCAGATTGGCCGCGGTGACGGGCGGCTGATTGTGGAACAGACAGAAGATGTGGTAGAAGCTCGCGCGCAACTTGACGCTCAGCACTCTACACTCAGGGCCATGCTGATTGTCTTGCGCATACGGGAGCACATAGAGCTCCAATATGGACAAGCCCTCTCGAGACATCCATAGTATGTGCTGATACGCCGAGAGTGAGGGTGTGTCTCGCGTCGGATCCAGTTTGCGGAGCTTCCTGGCGCGAATCAGTCTCCTAGCTAGTAGGACAGATAGGCCCAGGATCTGATAGAGAGCGTCGGAGAGGAAAGGATTGGATTCCGCCGTCTGCTTTGCTATTCGGCCAAGGAATTTTTGATCAAAGTCCAAAGAGGCCATCGTCTAGGAATCCGGGTCTGTTGCGACTCGTCAGTATGTGACTTGGGTAAGGAGGATGGATGGATGGATGGATGATGGACGAAGTAGGAACGTGCAAATGGGGTTGTGAACGCGCTCAACACCAAGCACTGAGGGAAAAATGTATACAGATGACTGTGATACCAATTGACGTTCAGAGGACCTGATCTCAGTGACTGTATAGAGACGCGTTGGTGGATTTTGAGACTGAGCAGTGAAGAAGGCTCATGAAGAAGGTGATGGATCCACTCACACTAACCGCCAACCCGGACCGTTGCGCTGTATCCCCAGGCTGGATAGACACCGTGCAGCCCGGCCCAGGCCGACCGATGACGCCTTTGGTTGACAGCGCCGGGGGCAGATGAGGGCCTGAGAGGAGAACAAGCACTGCTGGCCAATTGATGTGTTTCGACAGCCGATGAGGTGACCGTGCGCGTAGTTTTGGGCAGTGAATAGCAATACTCGTGATGACCCCCGAGTCGGCGATTGACACTGGAAGGCCGACTGGGTATGCTAGTAGGCGGCAGTCGGAGGATAGCTGGATTAGGTGATTGATGGTGATGGTGATTATAGTACAATGTACAGATATAAAAACAAGAGTTTGGGGGGGGGGGGAGAATAAAATTGGGCCAACGGTTGATCATGTACAGAATGGTCGTTCTATGCGCCTGAAGAGTCTGGCTAGGATCTGGCCAACTGTCAGTGATGTGGCCTCGAGATGGTCAACAAGCCCACCCCCCATCGGCGTGGCAGGGCTTGCAAAGAGGATGGAAGATACCTCTGAAAGGGACAGGTCGCGAGCCTGTTTGTTCTCTGCCTGCGAGTCGATGCTGTCTTCCCATTCGACGACGACTGGGATGCCAGCAGACAGAGCCAATGGAAGCGCGCACAGCACAAGGCGAACGGCGGCCTTTTTTGATGTGACGGGCTAACGGGCTACCGGTAGCAGACGTCCAACATGGAGTCGAGCTGCAATTGTGGCTGGGACGGCGGTTTCCTGAGGCCTCGGACAGCGCATTGCGACTTTTTTTTCTTTTCCCTTCAGCTTCCAGTGGCCAACGCGCGAGGTCCTGCGACGATGGTTAAGAGGCGCGCGCTGTGTCTGCCAGGCGGTGTGCAGACGGTCAGTGCAGCTGGGTTGAGCTGCCGAGGAAGCGAATTCGGCCGCACACAACGCCCTCCCAGAACTTGTATCCCGACTGACTGAATGTATGTACAGCGAACAGCGAACAGCGGACAGCGGACAGCAAACACACTTTCTCGGCTTGGCCTGGGTACGAAGACGCGCTTCTGTTTTCTTCTTGGTTTCTCTCTTGCGCCTGCCCTGGGCTCGGTGTTAGAGCTAGGTAGGGACAAAGGTGAACGGGCGAACGGGCGCACTGCAATCGAATGGCTCGCAACAGAAACGCAGCCACGAACGGGTATGACGATGACGAAGAAAGGAGAGAAAAAGACAAGGGCCAACACAAAAGGAACCCGCTGCTAGAGTAGTATCAATCCGCCCACGCTTCCCGGCCTCGTGGAAATGCAGGTGCAGGTCCTGCGTCCATCCACCGACAGGCGAGCGACGGGTACGGTAGGAATGGTGGGTTGACGTGTCAAAACGCTACGCTCCTCCGCTAGACTACACCTGTCGCTTGCATACCAAGGTACTTGGGCGTGCCTTGGATAGTCGAGATGGAGGCGTTGCCAGCTGGCACTGGGGCTATGTAGTAGGCCATTGTCGGAGCTTTGTCATATCAACTTTCTCTTCCTCGACGACGTCAACGCCTCTGCCACGGTCGCCGCGCCTCGACGCTGCCAGCACGCATCTTGCAGGGCTGTATGTATTGTGTGTGCCTCATGCTCATGTCTCAGACGAACGACAACCGTGTGCCAGCGCATCGTTCCACAGCTTCGTGGGGTGCATACAGTACTCTCTCGTCCATTGTCTCTCCCCGAACCTTCTTTCAGCAGCCCTAATCATGGCACTTGAGCGTCAGCCACGGCCAGCACGCGCTTGAGCTGTCAAGGCCCGACTCTCAACATCCCCAGCGGCCCCGGCAGAAGAAGAACACGGGAGGTATTGACTGACCGTCTTCCGGACATATACTGCAGGTCCCGCCACCGTCAGCCCTTCTGCAAGTCCAAGGCCATCGTGGGGTGGACTCGGTGGAGCAGCAGCATGCACCCCCCAGCCTGGTAGATAGCAACAAGTATCAATAAGATGGCCGATTATACCTCCTCCTTCTGGCCATTCGACGAGCATCCAAGAGCTTTAGGGGGAACTAGTACAACAACCTTCAGTGTATCGTTTCGTCATATGCGCTGCTATGCCCACCAGTGCCGGCCTAGTAGGTAGTTTGGATTAGCGGTGAAGCCGTACGTTGATTGGTTCGAATGATCAAAAAATACTTAGCCAACGCCATGGCGCCAACTTGAACAAACATCGTCGTCACTAAACAGCCTCGTCCAAATCCTACTTGGATTGCGCCACGGTGCTTTGTATGCGGACAGCAGTGTTCTACAAGTTTCCCCAAAAGTGCGAAGACGTCTTGAAGGTAGCCAAGCGACTGGATCCGATCCTGCCGTCAGTGGCTAGTTATGGTAGGTATGAGGATCCGTTCTTTGAACACCCGTCCGCTCCATCGCCTTGACTGCGGGAGGCAAGCGTTGAAGCCGATGTACATAGTATGTCAAACGCGGTAGGCAGGACGGTAGTCCAGGAAAACAACTACTTTTCGGTAAAGTACGACAGCCAGCAAATCAAACAAAGAGTCTGATTGTTCTTTGTCACTGTCGCTGTGACACCAATTTGACCATGTAATGTCACGATTGCCAGCTTAAGGAGTTTGGCCCTCTGCACACCCGATGGGACTATCCGAATCAGCACGCGACCGTGTCACCTGAGAACTCCGAGTATCGACCATTTCTAATATACGCACACCCCTCCGGTACCGGCTCGCACTCCTCCATGGGGCAATAAAGAATATCTAGGAGAATATCTCCGGTTGGTAAGACTAGGAAGTAATATCGTCTGCTGACCCTCTCGCCATGTTTTGGTAGTGGTTTTGCTTAGCAGCGTTTCCCCGTGGCGCCAGCAAGTAACGCAAATGTCAGAGATTCGAAGCTTTGATCAGCTCGCATCACCATCCACCCGTAGGAAGATCAAACTGCACAATCCACACAATCAATGGGAACCACAAAAAAAATATGGCATCATGCCAAACTATCCTTTATATAAAAATGTCTATAGGGTACCTTTGCAAATGCCCATACCGGCTACAAAAGTTCAAGTCTCCACTCGGTCTTGTCCAAACGAGAAACACAATTCTCAAACGCAACTTTTACACATAGTTCTATTATAAGAATCTTCCCCCCCTCAGTCTCACATACCTACCGTTCGGGAACCATCACGGGCTCCAAAAGAGGGTAAGCATACTTCTCCACATACTATGTCGTGCATACAGGCGACCACCGTCAGCCTCCAATTCTCACGTTATCACAGCACATACAGAAAGAGACACACACATTCCAACCTAGTCCAGCCAAGCCATCCAGCCTCAACCACCCTCACCAATTCACAAACCCCTTCACCAAGACCAAAAAGTCCCCCCAAAAACGCTCTTTCTCCCCTTCCAAAAAAAAAGAGGGTACCCCTATATCCCCCCTTTACAACCTCAATCACACCACCTCATACCACCACCACCACCACTTCCTCCAGACCCCTCCATCTCCAAACAAAACCCCCAAAAATGTGCTTCTACCACGCCTACACCCACACCTGCGGCCACACCGAAATGGTCTTCCAACAGCTCTGCCCAAAGGGCCAAATGGTGCAGCAAAAGTGCAAAAAGGGGCTCGATGGCGTCATCCTAGCCACCATCAAGATTGAGACGCGGTGTGCGATCTGTTCGCGTTGAGGGGGTTGGTGGGAGTTGTGAGGGTGTGGGATGGGTGTGTATGGGGAGAAGAGGTGGAGTGGGTGTTGGTGGTGGGGGTAGAGGGGAGGGCAGAGGGGGAGTGTTTACTATTTGAAAACGAACCTCCCCTCCACCCCCCTCTTGGAAAAAAAAAGAACACACCAAGGAACAAAGAATCCGAACATCCGATAACCCCTCTCGCATTCCACACACCCTATTACTTATGGTACCATTTCCCCAACCCAGGGGAAAAACCCAGGGGAAAAACTCAACATCTACAATCCCCCCACTACCTTCCCTTTCCCTTTCCCCTCTTTCCTTCTTCTCTTCTTTTTTCCTCTTTTTTCGTCTTTTTTCCTCTTTTTTCCTCTTTTTTCCTCTTTTTTCCTCTTTTTTCCTATCTTGTTTTCTTAGATACTACACGAATCAATGAATACTCCACTTCACAGCAAACACTTGCGGTTTAGCCTCGTCCTCGTCCCGCTTCCCGTGCGGCGTTGTCCTTTGTCGGGGACGGGGCGGGCGGGCCGTTGCGCGCGCGAACGAGCGGATCGGTGTTTCAGGGCAGGGATGGGTGGTTTTCTCCTTCTTTTTGGCTTTTTTTTTCTTGCTTGATGCGGAGACGGCTGTGCTTGGGTGGGGTATGGGGTGGGATTTTATTTTTGTGTTGATTTTGGGTGGTTTTGGGGGCCGGTGGCATGGGAAGATTTTTTTTTCTTAGGTTATAATTCTAGTGTATGAATGATATAGAGAAATTTTATGTCTCATGTCGTCTGTCTAATGAACGTCAAAAGCGATGACTGCATTTCATTTTCGGCCTCCCACACAGCGAGCCTGTTTTCTCATTCCTGGCCTAATAACATCTTCAACGTCTCGACGCCGACACTTAAAACTTCGGGATTCCGCGTTTCCTTTAGAACCACTCTCAACGCTTCCACCACCCCTTTTTCTTTACAGACTGTCGCTCCTTTTTCCACCTCGACCACACTCCTCAGGCAAACTACACCGCGATGTCTAACACCCTCATCTTCATCCTGGCAAAGACCCAATAGCCACTCTACATTCTTTAGTTGCTGCAAAAACGCCTCCACAGCTAAATCGACCGAAAGGAGCATTGCGAGCGCACCACCAGCTGCAGAACGTGTTGCAGCGTCGTCGACATCTGTCATGGCGAGAAGAACATGTAAACGGTGTTTGGAGCGGGGTTCAGATGTATCTGCAAAATTACCAATACACACTGGTGAAGCCATGAGGTTGCAGAGGAGCTCTGTGGAAGCACGGCGAATCATTGCGTTTTGGCTGAGCAGGAGGTCATCAACAACAGTGTCGAAGGCGGAACGAATGATGTGGTCTTGTGTGTTGCGGTCCAGCGATGCGAGATTTGTGAGAGCAAGTAGGGACTCGAAAGCGTGAAGTTGCCATGCTGAGTTTTCGGTCCGAGCGAGCTGGCTTAGGAGGGGGCGAATGGCAGATGTAGGTGGGAGAGCAGCATTGAAGATGTGAGATGGATTTATGCTGATTAGGAGGCGTGAGAGAGCTTGGGCGGTTGTGGGGAGGGCAGTGGGTGGGTAAGGAGTTGTTCCTGTTGTCGAATTTGAGGCAGTCGTGGAAATGTGATCCCAGATTTGGATCAGGAGCTTTATGGCGCCTTGTTGCGCCATTGTCCCGCGATTCTTGGGTTCCTTGCTGAGAGACAGCAGAATCTGGCTTGACTGTGTGTGGACAGAGGGTGATGCGCGTTTGCAGATTAGTGTGAGGAGAGGCACAATGTTAGCGTCAAGAACGCGTTTACAGCGTATACTGACATTTGCATCTTCGAGAAGAGGGTCTGGGTCTGAAGGCTTTTGCGTCTTGTTGACTTTAGCGTTTGCGTAATCTTTCAATTGGGCCATTCGCTTCTCCTCTTCCGATTGGAGAGGCAAGTACGTGGTGATATTGACGAAGATGGTAAGACCTCCGAAGAGAATGCTTTTTGGAGATGAGGAATCACTCATGGTTTCGATCAGTCGTTTGAGAAACTTGGGAGACTTGGACAAATCCTCTCTGACCTTAGGTTGAAGCGAGGCGTACGCTAGTCCTTCGATTGAGTCTTGGTTTGATGAAGTATCACCACCAATGACCATGGACTTGAAGCTTGCGATCAGATCGCCTTGATCGACCTTACCTGGTGTGGCAATCTGTGGACCTTCGCCAGACGGTTGCTCTTCTCCCAACTTGACAAGAATAAGTGCAGCGAGGTTTGCACGCTTCTTGTCCTGGCTTCCTGCAACAAGATCCTCCAGCCACTCTCTGCAATGCAGATTGATGGCATCCCTGCAATTCTTATCTGTGCATGCCGCGCTGATAAGCTCAAGCGCGGCCTGCTCCAACTTCGCCGACTTCTTCTTCTGCACTACTGGTGCAAGGCTCTGGACGAACCCCTCTGCCAGGAACAATGTTGCGGCAGCCGTGATCGCTACAGGGAAAATTGCCGCAGCTGCTGAAAATGCAATCACCAAGTCGTTTGCCTCGCCCTTCTTCACCTTCTGTGTCACAAACTTCGAGATGAGCTCTCCGGCCGTATCTGGACATAACTCAAACAACTTGATACTTGCTAGCGTCGCTTGACTCCTTAGATTGGCCGGCAGTCGGATATCCAGCGACGCGAGGATAACATCGAAACTGTCCGCATCGATGATTCCTTTGAGATGCTCCGCGTAATGAGCAAGTAGCTGCGCAATGCCCTTCATAGCGCGTTCTGGGTGCTCGAGCGCTTCTTCCATCATCATTGCTAGACTCAGCATGAATATGTCTCTATGTCCTGTCTTGAAACTTTCGTCGTCTGGCCACACGCCTCGGTTGAGCAGCACCTTGAGCAACCCATCGATGGAATCGTCGCCCCGCTCAAACATTTCATAGTAAATCCTTGTCGGTTGCTCTCGTACCGCATTCGCCAGCCACATCTGCGCACCTTGGTTCTGCAGTAATTCTCCCGTGACTTGATCGAGAACATCATCTTCGCCTTTGGACTCGAATAGAATTTCCATTGCTTGTTCCGCCTCTTTCTGCTTGAGACCCTGTTTTCGTATTGTCATCAGAGCTCTTTCGCCGTCGTGCTCATCCTGACTCTTGACCCAGACTTTGCAAATCGTGAGTAGCTCGCTCTTGTCCTCTTCTTCGCGTACTTTGGCCCATGCTGCTTTGATCTGTGGGTGTTCTGGTGCAATGCTACTAGCTTCACGCAAATATCGCACTGCAGCAGCCAATTCACCTGCTGTTATGCTTGATTCGGCTTTTTGCGCGATTTGAAGAGCCCGCTCTTCCTCAGATTCAGTGGGCATGTTGAAAAGGTTGATGGAATAGTGGTCATGTCGTGTCAGGAAGTTATTTAAGGTTCATGTCACATGTTTCTGCCGTCCTAGTGTATATGCGCACAGACCATATCGCTAGAATCGTACCATCTGCCATCATGCATGCAATGCGGGGTGAGATTCGATAACGGCGACGCATACGACCTGCACTTGTCGACCTGTTGTTGACACCTTCTTCAGACACCAAAAATTTGATACACACTTGAGAACCTTGCGGTCTATGTTCATTACTAATACAAGTCGTGAAGTCGTTACCTGTAATTGCCTTTGCCCGCTCAACAATTAACCGCCGTACGCAACCATGTCCAGCTAGATACCCAGCATGCTTCCCAAGAAACAAAGAAAGTCTCCATAGAACCCCCGATATATGATAATAACACCCTCATAGGACTGTATCCCAAACGCCGCCTGTACCGAGTCTTATGGCTAAAGAAAAATAAAACGTCTGGCAAAAATGTGAAAACTCGCCACGCCTTGCGATGACTGTGATTGTGCTTGTTAGTAGATGACTCTGTCACCCTCCAATTGTAGTCTCATCAGCCACCTTATCGCACGGTGTATCCGGCCTTTTCCGTTGTATAACGCCTAGTAGCAGCAACCGTTCCCAAACGTCGTCTTTGACAAGGACCCTAGTCTTGTCAAATTTCATGCCATCCAACTCTCGCAGATTTCTGCAGAGATTGGCTAGCATCATCTCTGTTACACGACGGCGAATTCGCGTCTCATAGTCTAAGCGCAGAAGATGTTGTTCATCGACTTCGGCATCGCCAGCAGGCAAGACGAAGCGATCTGTAAGCTGGTCGTTCGAAGGCTTCCGTCGTAGAGACATGACGCGGTTTTCAGATGTAGGGGCGTAGAAGCGAAGCGAGAGAGGATTGTCTCGCCAGTCGAGTTTCGATAATGTTTCTAATTTTCCTAGAACCAAGGCATTTGCACGGAGACGTTCGAGCTTGTTTCCGGCAAGCAGCAACTCGCTGAGTCTCTTGATATTTAGAAGTGGTCTCAAATCTTTGATGGAGTTGAAGTTCAAGTTCAGTGTTCGGATGTTTGGAGTCAGCTGTCCGAAATTATCTGGGAGCTCCTTTAGCCCCATCGAGGCGAGCTCTAATCGTTGGAGACTTAACAAGTGTTGTGAAATCCCGAGACTATGTGTAGGGTTTAGCGAGAGATATAGGTTCCTAACCTCTGGGTTTCTCAGGAGGTTGCTCACACACCAGTCGGTGTCGGTGTCGTTGGCCAAGTTCTGCTCCCTGGCAGAAAAGGTGCGGAGATTACGGAGATGTTCTAGCCCTGATACTTGAGTCAAGCAATTGCCATCAACATACAATGCTTCTAGCTTGGGGAAATGTCGATCGACCTCTAGCATTGTTGTACCATTTCTACAAAGGCGAAGTGATCGGAGCAACCTGCAAGGCTTGACAGGTGTGTCGACAATGGGGAATTCTTCGATGTCATTGTCATCTGAAAGGAGGTCAGTCTTGTCAGTTCAAATCATTGGCTCGAATTTGAACTCACTGAGATTGAGATGTTGGAGCTGCGGTAGCCAATGCACGTTGCGTACTTCAATCAACTGATTTCGTTGAAGGTCGAGATCGGTCAGAGATTTACTGTGAAGGCATCAGCATCTGTTATCCATCAAGGGCTTGCGAATACTTACAGATCGGTGCGTGCAAAGTCAACCATCTTAATCTCGTTGTTGCCCACGCTGAGTTCCATCAAACCATCGAGGTGTAGTATACCAGTCAACGATTTGATCTTGTTGTTATCTGCTTTCAACACTCGTAGATGCACCAGTTCTGCAAGACCATCCAAGCGATCGATCTGATTACCAGATATGTCCAAATTTTGAAGATTGACCAGACTTGTCCAAGAAGTGAGTCCTGTTAAATGATTGTTTTGGACGTGCAGCCGTCGCATAGTATAGGGTATACCTTCAACCTGATTGATCTTGTTGTCTGACACGTCAAGCTCCTCAAGTTGGTAACACATCTCATCCAGGCGATTCAGCGTAGTAAGGTCTTTCTTGTGAAGATTGACTCTTCGAAGGTCCTCCCAATAGGGTTCTTCTGGCTCGACATCCTGTAGCGCCTTGACGAGTTCTGCGGTGCCCTGGGCATAGCGGTCCTCCAGAGCCTTCGAGAATTTGGTGCCATCATGTTTCACAACGACACGATCTGGCAATTCGAACTCATCGACTTGGTTGAGCGTGAATTCAGGAAGGTCACTCAACATGAAGGTAACATCACCCTTTATCGGCGATGATGGGGCAGCTATCAAGCTTTGATCAGCAGTCCTTTGGACATGTCCTGAGACGCTCATGGATAATTGCATCCGATAATTTTTTGACTGTTTCTTGTCGAGCAGTGATAGGTCACCGTCACCTTTGAAGACAGGTATGCGGTTAGCATGAAGACGTGGCAAAGACCTTGCACTGTTCATGTTCTTCCAAGCCGACTGTTGTCTTTCTCCTTGCTTCTGACCTATGGTCGGCGCAGTAGCTGTGCGTTGACGACCCTTGCCTTCACGCTCTGCAAAGGAAACTGTGATGTCTCGCACGCGAGTGTGCTGCAGGCCAGGACGAACATGTTCACGGCCTTCATAATATTGAATCTCGTGCTCGATGTCACCCTCATCTGACTCCGGAATTGCGTAAGTTGTCTGTACGTGCTGCATCTTCTGCGTACTATGATTTTTGGGTGCTTGAGTACTCCAAGATGTATTCCGTGTGTCTGTTTTGGGGAAACTCCAGCCAAAATTAGAGGCTTTCGATTGGGCTGAGCTTGTGTCGTTGAAATTGATTCCTTTGCCTTCACGGGTGACAGGGCGTACTTCTGCAGGCTCAGTCTTGACCGGTTCTTTTACGACGGTAGCGTCGGAGGCAGTATCTTCTATAATGGTCTCCACAGTAGTCTGTAGACGAACCGGTGAGCCATCGTTTGCTTTTTGCTCTTTCGTCTCATCGACTGTCAGATCAGGGATATGTCCGAACGGATCGTCTTCACTTTCATTCCAGTGACTGTGTTCTTCCTCTTCTTCGTGACGTTGTTTTTTGGATAGATTTCTCTGACGGACCCACATATTCTTTTCCCGATCGAAACTCATTCCGGCAACCTTTTGCGGGATAAGATGCGCAACGGCTTCAGGCGGCAAGGTAGCAACGTGATCTGATCGACGCGAAGCATTTGTAGCTATAGTATGGCCAAGTGAGGATCCTTGAGATTGTAACGTACGCATCGCTCGAGTTTGAGAGCTTAGACCATCTGCCATAGCCTCCACATTGCGCCAATGTCTGTTAGGATCATCCGTGATCCTAATATCATTTTGCTCAATGATGACGCTCTCACCTTCAGGCGTTGCGGGGCCCCTCATTCGGGAGAAGCGAATAGAGTTAACCGAAGAATTCAAAAAAGTATCGTTGTCTTTTTCCTGGTACTTTTGTAGATGATCCATCACGTTTGGGTCCAATTGATGAAGATTTGGTCCTTTCCAGGCAGATGAACGGCCTTCCCTGCTGGGAGGTCTGTCGAATGTGAGCATACTTGAATTTTGCTCAGTCGATTCTTCGATGAAATTCAGTTCAGCTTCGGTCTCCTCCAGACTTCCCAAGCCGCTAGTCGGCCGTCCTTTTGTTCGGATAAAGTCCATGATCTTGACAGCCTCATCTAGGAAGTCTTGGGTAGTGACTGATCGCTTGCGATTCTCGCTACGTAAAGCACGTTGCCTCTTCATGCTAAAAGCGGCAATCTCGCTAGCCACGGCTTTGGCGCGATCCTGTTCATCTTGAGCATCATTGATGATAGATGGCTCTAGTTGCTCGCGGATCGTGTTGAGTTTCGGCGATGACAAGATGAAAGCTTCTGTTGCCTCCATGATCTCGGCATGAAGTTCCTCTCGTCTGCGTTGGCTGGGTGTGGGATTTCGAGGTCTCAGAATGTGTCTTTTTGCCAGTATCTCCGGACCCGCCACATGGTTTGAGGTGTCGTGTCGCGGTTTCTCTCGCTTCTGGTCAAGGACTGATTGCACAGCCGCATCTGATCGCTGGACTGTCCCAAGACCAGCATCGCTGAAAATATCTTCGTCCTGTTCTTGCTCATCATCGATAGCATTTATCGTTCTTCGACGCTTAGGCGTGGGGTTCTTGAAAGGTGATGTTGGACCCCTCTTTCCCTCTGCATACTCGTTCACACTCGTCTCCTCCTCGGTATGCGCGGTGGGTGCTTCACGATGTTGCTGGAATTTGGGTCTATTAACGTTCCCCGAAGGGAGCCTCCGTTGACTGGACAATTGTCGCATTGCCCGCGAAGTCTTCCGTGAAACAGGTGAATCGTCTAAATGGAACTTGAAAGGCGGGCGACTGCCAGGCGGGGCAACATCTATCGAAGGCGATCCGTCCGGCGCACTGTCATCGAGCACGTTAAAGGCCTCCGAATCATCGGCGGAAAAGTCACCTGAGAACTCGAACTCGTTCAGCTGCCCGTCACCAAAGGCACTCACCCGCCGCGGTGGAATGTGCCGATCATTTTTGACAGGAGTTTGCCCATTGGTAAGAAAGCTCATCTCCTCAACCGAAGTTAGCTTCGAAGGTGGAGGCATGACCTTTGCTATGTCCGCTGTACTTTCTCTCATGGTACTGGAGGCTGTCTTGTCTGACTTGTACTCAAGTTGACTCAAACGTCGCTGAAGGCGATTACTAGTGAAAGTGTCGTGCGCATCGAATAATTTCAGAGGACTCCCCGAATTTTGAGCTCGTTCCGGACTGAGGTACGGGTTTGGCTTCCTGCTGGGAGTTTTGGGGGTGTGCTCGGGGTCTGGGGAGGAAAGATGCTCATTGTCTGTTGTGAGTGTGCTGATTTGCAGTTTCTGTTTCGATGTTTCCGATGTTGCAGGTCTTTCTGGCGAGGGACTGAGTGGCCTTGTGCGAAAAGAGCCGTCCCTAGAATAACCACCTCTTCGAAGTTCCACATAGCGTCCAACATCAGGAACATCAGGGGTCCCTGCAGGCAATCCCTCTGGAAGTGAGAAGTCTTGGGTCCTAATGAAGGAGGAGTCGGTTTGATCCTGGCTGTGAGTGCTGTCATCTACAACGGGCTCACATATTATGGGAGGTGGCGTTCCAATCTGCCGTAGCCGGTTGGCGAGTTCAGATCCTCTAAAGCTATGGACTGGATCCCGAACTTGGCCAACAGTCAGATTAGAGGTAAGGAAGACCGGGCTGAAGTTCTCGTTTTCGAATTCGATCTGCCCGCTGACGGTCCGCGATGCCTCTTGTGTGCTGGCCTGCGGTATCTGCAAAGAGTCTTGGTCGTGCTGCTCCTGGAAAGAGTCGTGTGGTGAATCACTCCGCAAAGCTTCGTCATCGTTGCTCTGTGACCTCTCTTTTTGGGCATCCTGCTGCACCTGGCTCTGCTCTTGCGCCGCGGCGGGCCATGGTGGTGGGCTTGAGGGCATTGCCGCCAAGCCCTTCAATAGTGCAAGCTTGCGCTTTGGTGACTGGGAATCTTCGGACGTGGTGCCATTGGGCTTCTGGAAAATGTTCTCCAGGCCCGTCGGACCAAAGAGGTCCTTTTGATCGCCATATCCTATCTCGCCCTTGACGAGTCGCCGCCGCCACTCTGGAGTATCGTGTGGTGCCTGGTCTTTGGTGGGAGACCTGGCGACTGTGTTGTGCGCCACTGTGCCATTGTACATGATCGAGCTTTGAGACAGCGATGAGGGAGTGTATGACGCAATATGGGACGGCCCAGCGTGAGCCGCATTGGGTGATGAGGGCGCGATGTTGGCGTCGCTGGGGCTGCGCTCAGCCAGGGCGCTGCGTTGTTTTGGCGGGCGCAATTCCTTCGCGATGCTGCGTACCTGGATCTCTGAGAAGGAGCCTGAGGATTGCCGCATGCGGGGAAGTCGACTTTTGGATTTTGGCGGAACGCTCTGCGAGGTCTGTGGCGTGTTTTGCGTCGGGTGTGCAGGCGACTCTGGTGCGCGTACGGGTGTGCCTGGGCTGCTGGTCTGGGGAATCCACTCCTCGGACAGGTCCTCGAGCCATGGTTGTGTTGTGTTGGCCATGGCGGTGTGTGCGTGTGTGTGTGTGTGTGTGCAGATGCGCGCAGCTGAATACGCTGGTGGGCTAGCGTGTCTGGGGGGGTGGATTTGGAGGGGAACGCGGGCGCATCAGGTGAATACAGGGCTTTTATATACGGGCAGGACGCATGCTGGAGGTGGAATGGCAGAAATGAAGAAGCAGAAAAAGAGAAGTCGTCCAACCGGTGTGAGTTGTCGCGGCGGGAAGCGCGTTGTCTTGTGGACTTGGATCGGTTGACAATGACAATAGACCTTGTAGCATTGCCAGGGTTCGATTCGATTGCCGGTGTGCAGGTCGGAGCAGGGGTCTCCCCGCCCGCCGCTAAGATTGTCTTGGTTGTCCCGCCAACGGACGTCCCCGTCGCCAGCCACAGCATGGCACCTGTGACCTGAGGGGCGAGATGAGGATGCTGGTGAGAATAAGGCGTTTAGCGACCTTGGAGATCCACTTGCTTCCAACCGGTATTCTGCTGATCTGCCAGGAGAGCGAACTTGGGCCGCCCGATGCTACTCGCGCCCCCGCAACTACTATCCGTATTATCCTCAGCCTCCCAGCTGGGTGCACCATAAACCGACCTCCGACTTCACAATTCACGCGCGACCGACCGTATGAGCATGACCCTGACCCGCCACACATCGCACGCTACTAGACCCGCCGTACGAGCCAGGAGAGTTCCACGATCACTGTCATCACGGTACACTAACACGCTTTCGCCTGGCGTGCACGACCGCCTAATCTGGGGGGGAAAAGTTGGTCGGGCAACGACTGTCCGCCCAGCGCTATGCCACCAACCTTGCATCCTCACCTGAAACGAGGCCTCGACTTTGGGCCTGTCTACATTGAGCCAGAAGATGCCATCGAAGACCCTCCAAGCGGCCGGCATTGCAATCCCCAGGAACAAGAAGCGAAACGCAGACGGGTAGAAGCCATTGCGACGCAATATTTACGTCGTGGGCGACTGCCCGTCATCCTTTCAGCCGGACTGCGAGGACCTTTCGATCAAGCGTGGAAGAACCCATGGATGACAGCTACAACTCGGTCCAGGAGACGGTCTGCGGAGAAGAGCACTGCCACTAAGTCAGGGAAAAATCGTGCTGGGTCGAAGAACCTGTCGGATTCTAAAGGCAATGTCAGGGTTGAATCTATTGGGCCAAATCGAAAGAAGAGTGGGAAAGAGACGTCGGAGGGAAGGATTGCGTCGCCTGAGACTTCGAGGGCCACTACCGATGCTCTCAGCTTTCGTGAGCAAGACCACAGCCTGGACGAAGTGGAGGTCGAAATTCCACCTGCCACGGCACCTCCGCCTACCGAGGACAACGCGTCAGGATCGACCGAGTTCTTCAGTGCAAACACCGGGAAAATCATTCAGACTCGATCTCCTCTGAGTAACCCCTTTTGGCTGCGGCGTCCTGAATCGGAACGAAGAGGGGTGATACACTTCTCTCAGAATGGCAATGCAGAGGCTTCACCGACACATTCTCGAAGTGATCGTTCGAAGAGAGCTGTGGCTGAGAGTCACCAAAAGAGACTTTCAAGGACCTCTGCACGTGCTCAAAGCGCATCTAAGACAACACCTCTATCTGGAAATTGGGGATCCAGTGCTTCGGCTTCCATGCTCATCTCATCACTGATAAACGACCCTGGTGGCCCTCCTTCTGGTGAGGCTCCAGGACAACACCATGAATCTACAGATGCTCAAAGCAAAGCGGGGGAACCAGCACCTTCAATCATTGGCGATCATAACCCTCAGCCAGTTGCATCGCCTAGACGTGTCCCACAAAGTACTGAGGCCGATCGACTTTCACAGCAATCAGGTAATCATAAGACGCTGAGGACAAATGGCTCAGCGAATCGTGCAACGGTAGACGTACCATCGAGCACAAGGATACACAATGCTCCACTGCCTCCGTCCTCGACGCTGACCCGTCGAGCTGCACGAGAGAAGGTTGCGGAAGGTGCTCCACGACACGACCGAGTGGCATCACCGACGCTGGCTTCGTCAACAGGCTTCAAGTATAGAAAAATCTCAAATCCTAGGAGCAGGACCGAGCTGCCAGAACCAAAGGCCAGGGCTGTGAACATTCATTCTTCTCCAGCTAAGATGAGGACTGACCAAGAGAAGCACGCTGAAGGCAGTTATATCGAGGTTGATGCGATGCCTACCGTATCCAAGGAGCAACAGGACAATCGTGATGGTGCCCAACGTCATTCAGAGCTGTCAAATTTGGCAGATGATATGATAAAAGGGCTGCACCAAGCAGAAGGCGACTCAGAGCAGCCCAGTCATGAGTCAGCAATGTCTACACAAGCGGCCATGTTACTCGCAGCGCTCGAGTTTCAAGAGAGTACTTATCGAAGTCTGTCGCCTGCGGATACTCGAAGATGGTCACAAGTGTCTGGAAATATATCCCGCACAACGTTACACGTACCTAGTCCAGCGATTACGCCGCTATCGGTGTTCGGTAAACGGTTAGGGGAAGGATTTTCCAAGGATAGTGTACTGCGAGGCCCTCCAATAAGCACACAGGACCTCTTCGGAGCTGCATCGCCATTTGCTTTCAGCACCATGAAGAAGAAGCTCGCAGGTCCACGACAGAGCGACCTGGGATTTGGGCTGGCTCAAGCACATGATGACGATCTCACCGCCGATGAAGTGGCCGAAAAGAGCCCCACCCCAACAGCTGAGCGAGTTCCATTGAAGGCCAAAGGGAACACTCCGTCTTTGTGGAGCTTCATTAGCGATAAACAATTGCAAGCGTCCCAAGAGTCCTTGCTACATCGGTCGAGAAGGTCTGTCAACGATGTTGAGCTTCCGCAATTCGACCTTAAGACGCCGCTGGATGAGTTTGAGGCCAACAGCGGGTTGCATTTCACTGATCGTTTCTTGCACAATCTGGATACTACCTGAATTTGGGTTTTGGAGGATTCGTAGATGGCGGGGCGCCGTTGAGCTGGTATGACAAGTCCATGGTTCCATTGAAGGACCCAGGGGTAGCACGACGTGTCCACGACAGCCCACAATTGGATGTTGAATTCATACAGGCCACTACTAGCGACTCTCTGTCATGTCGAAGCTTCTTTGATTGCAGAGAGCAGCGATATATAAGTTCTGGGCCAAAGGCATTGCATCCGGCGGTGAGGGGCCACGTTCTTGGTTGATTGGACGACAAGAGCTCCCAGGCTCCATGCCTTGCATGATCGACCCTATGTAGGTCATGGATGCAGAGAGGTCTGGGGACGGAAGCCTGGTATGATGCATAGGCAATAGAAGTCGGGGGGGGGGAGGCAGCATGGAGATGAATTGGCAGTCTCACTGGTACTTGGTACCTACCTACCTACTGTGTACGGGGTTTCGATACGGGCTGACGCACAGGGGGAGCAGTGCGTGCGGATGACGGGAGTGATGGTCCAGCATACCTTGGCTTGGAAAACTAATTCATGTCAGCGCTGTTTCTAGTAGTACTCTCCTAGCATGCATGGATGTACGCGTAAGAGAAGCTGTCCATGGGCATCATGCCAGCACTCGGAATTGACCGCCATTGATTGAAATCGCACAGTAGAGTGGTGGTGGTGGTGGTGGTGGTGGTGAATTGAATGTTGTCGAGAGTTGGGCGTTGGGCTGCCCCCCAACCCCCCTGTGGAAGCGACGATGGACGAGGAAAGAGGAGTTGATTGTGTGCACGGACGCTCTCTTCCAGGGCACCTTACCGTAGCTACTGTACCTACTTGTATTGTACCTATGTACCTTCCCTATTGTTCCTTTTAGGTTTCAGACTGGGAGTTGGACGCGACTGCCCAAGTAGGCCTTGGTGCCCCCGTGACGGCCGTGACTGCCCACCTAGGGAGCGATAAGAAGGCCCCGTGATAGGCTTGCGCTAAAGCAACTGAAAGGCACCAGACATGGGCAGACCCAGGTGCGACTCTTCGTCACCACACAGTCACCACCACCACTATATTCTTTCTTATCCCCCAAAAAGACATCCAATCTCGCTCTCGCTCTCGCTCTCTCTCCCCTTCTCTCTCCCCGCCCCGCCTTCAATTGCTCGTACAGTGACGAGGCGCTTTGTTCACGGTGCTCACACGGCCGTGCTTGCAAGACGTCATTGGGCTGCTCTCTCGCTTACAATATCTCGTGCGCCACCTTAGTACAGTAATTCCCATCTTCTTCCTTTCATCCCTACCGGCGCATTGCAGCCCAAGCGTT